GTTATATATTATTCAGGTGCCCGTGGCTGACCAACAGATCTGTTTGATGCTGCTTTTGTTGCTTAGTGACTATCAACCGACGCCATTAACTATTCAAATCCCTTTGACAATACATAGTTAACCCGGCACCGCCTGGGCTATTTCCGTACCCACGACAGCCTGGGGGGGGGGGTCGGATCCGACCCCCCCCCTGTTATCTCGAGAACCAATGGTCGTATCGAGCCCCGCGAGGCGGCGTTCGAAAGGTCTCTACAAAACCTTCCCAAAGCACTCTTAAGATTTTAAGATTGAGGTCAACTTTCGGGTCAAGGTCAGGTCAAAGGTCAAATTCAGGGGTTTTGCATGATTAGGCTTACGGACAGCGGAATCGATAGCTGCTGCTCGAAACTCACCAAAAATGACCTCAAAGGCCTAGTGAAGGTACCATGTGCGTATAAGGGTCATACTAAGCACGGGTCAAGGTCATGTCAGGTCACGAAAGGTCACGGTTTTCACTTTCTGCTACATGGGCGTGCGACACATGTTTTATGGCTTATTTTTCACGCCGAATCCGATGGTAATGGTTATATGTGATCCCAAGTCACTGTGCTGGTGACAAGTGTGCATTGAAAGCATAAAAAAATCGTCTATACCATACATAACTAAACGAGGGCTAAGAAAAAAAGTCAATTTTTCAACTTTTTATTTTTGACATAAAAATGCACTTCTATACGAGCTTTGTCCCAGAAATCTAGTGGTGCCATTTGTTTTGACATGCGATGTTCAGAAGTGCCTCTAATTCACGAAAATGCTTATGACGTCACCATGCCCTATGCATGTTGGAGCTATTTTTTACAATTTGGGGGTCAAAAATCAAGATAGAAAGTTGAAATTTGGGACATCTTATGTTCTAATAGAGCTCTATAACATATATTCCGTTTTTTGAAATTCCCAAAATTTGGATTTTGTTAGCTGTTTTCCAAAAAATATAGTTTTTTGAATTTTTAGGGGTGAAAAACGCATTTTATGGAAAATCCGAGATAGCCATTTGATAGAACTCGTTGAGCTGCGTCTATTCATGTCCTTAATTTGCAATTTGCTTCAAACCTCGATTTTTGGCGATTTTTTAAACATTTACCACTTTTTGACTGAAAACGCCATGTAGTTGCATCACTAAAATCGATATATCTAAAAAAAAAAATGAATTTTTTTCTTAAAAATTGCACAGAAGACGTCAAATTGATGGGGGAGAAGGTATGCCAAGTTTCAAGTAGATAGCGCAAGCGGTTCATGAGTTATTCAAGAAAAACAGAGGGGGGGGGGGGGGTCGGATCCGACCCCCCCCCCCCCCAGGCGGTCGCGGGTTAATACATTTGACTTTGACCCACTGCCCAAGCTCCACGAATTCAGTCCCACTAGCCTCTATCGGACAAGAAAGGACCGCTTCATCTTGCAATAAAGTAATACCAATAACGTCTACTAGCTAGCAAAATGGGCTACTTTTATAATTTGTTCATCGATGGAAACTCTGTAGTTAACGTCAATCCCAGTCTTTCTTCATTTAGTTGGCAATGGACAGTATTTATTTCACTTAGTTACAATTACTCAACAATTTATTTTCCACTTTTATCGCTGACTAGGACACATGTGTAATGATGACTCTCCATGGTGAAAGAAGGCATCATCACGCAATTCCGGAATTCGGAATTTCCCAGTTCTGTTGGCACTATCTAAGCAACCCCGGACAAGGCGCCACAGGGCACAGCTGACCACACTGGCGGTCGGAGGACATCCTCCCTCCCCGGAGGCCCCTCACGGCCTCCTGTTTCCATCCAGCGGTGGCTGCGTGTTGGTGCGGTGGCCACTGCCACTCTGACCAGTCGCGCGGCTGGCCCCACCCCCGGCCAGGGGGCGGGGGCGGCGTTATATAATGGACGCGCCTGTCGCCGGGTGGCCGATATCGGCAGGGGGTGGGGGAGGGGGCCTCCGACCGGTCAGTGGTCACTGGTCACTGGTCATATTCACTGGTTACTCAGCACTTAATCGCAAGATTTCGGAGGCCGGCGTACCTTTATCTTTCTCATCATATTCGGAGGAACAACAACCAGCAGGTATCTGCCTAATCCTTTTAACATCTGTCATAAAAGTGGCATTCCACATTCCTGCCGTACGCACGGTCGCGCGCGGCCGACTGACCCTGACCTTTGACCGTCTGCACATGCCCCCCAAGGGGAGGGGGAGGGGGTAAGGAGGGCGGCTGGCTGGCGGCCCGTTCCGGGGTCGCTCTGGGGGGGGGGGGGAGGGGCAGGGGTGGCCCACTGCCAGACGGGGACCAGTCCATGGCGGGTGGGGCCACTCTCTCTCGTATAAACAGAAGCGTGAAGCGGTGCCACCGTGCGGCCTAGGATTCCTTGCGAATGCCCTGCAGGACCACTGGCGATAAACTATTGTGGTGGTCTTGCTGAGACTGGCACGGCTCAACAATCTTGTGCGTAGAAAACCGCCGGCGATTCTGCTTTCCGTCTTGATTAATGTAGGAATGCCTCTGACGACCCCGGGTACCGTTTGCCCGCTCCCTAGCGTCGCTGCCCTACTGCCGGAGGGCGGGCCGCCACGCATTCACACGCACACACGGACTGACTGTGCTGGCCGCTTGTGTAGGATCATCGGCTATAGCCGGGCCGCCCGCCGAGCCCGGTCCGCCGGAGACCGATGGGTCTTCCACTCGTCTGTTTGTCCGCCGGCTGCCGCCCCATTTGGAGACTGTGACTGGGCCAGTCTCTCTGTGTGGCCGCTGCCCCGGTCCCTGGGGCGCTCCCAGGACTCTGGTGTGTCGGCCGGGACACTCTCCGGTCCCGCGGAACAGGGCCGGTCAGTGACCAGTCCGAGTGACCTTTCACCCCCGTCCACAGTCACTCGCGGACCAGACGCGCCGGTCCGCAACTTCAGGAATGTCCAGTGGAACGGACAGGTCTGCCGTCTATCCTCTGTGGCCCGACTGGCCATGTTTGTGTGTTGTATGATCCATCAATAGGCCATTGAGACTTTCAGGTCATTTCTGTGCAGTGTGAGATATGATAATGACCCGGTGGTAAGCTAGCTTAAATTTTGATCGAATATTTCACTCGCGTCCGAATTGGTCTTTTCATTCAGATTGTAGGTCATGTTGCCGGATCATGCATCGCTTCAATCCCTTCCAGGCAACTGCTCAATCCGGTAACATTTCCTGTGCAGACCAGGTGCAATTGAAGGTGCATGTGTCGCTCCTCAGGCACGGCTCGCCAGTCCCCGGGTCTCGGCGCTGTGGTATGCGTGTTTCGCACCGCCCCTCGGATTGGTGCGCTGATATGGTGACAGCAGGATTTCCTATGACGCAGCGGATGTGGTGCGTAAACGCGAGTCACGTGATAAGGGGTGGCGATAACGCAGGTGGTCACGTGACCAGATACCTGCGATTGGTCAGTGAGGTGCCGGTGCATGGGTGCTGTGGGAATGAGGAATGGAATGATATTTTGGTAGTTCGCCACTCTGTTTCTGTCTGTGGTCGATGCTGAAGCGCTGACCCTGGTGTCTCAGTTTGGAGAGATGACCCTTTTGTGTGGCGGCTGGTTTCTGCGAGCGTCGTGTGTCCCAAGGCAGGTCGGACTGCCTCTCCTCGCCCTCCCCTTCCGTCGCCCGAGCCGGAGTTTGCTGAGAACTGAGCGGGGCTTCGGTTTGGTTTGTGAACAGGTGGCTCGCGCTCAGACACCGGCTGCCTGCGAGTGTAGCACCTTCAAACAAACACAGACACACGCCAGACAGATACACACTCCGACAGGCAGATACACACTCAGGCAGACTCGCCGCACAGACAGGCAGACTCGCCGCCAGGACGGACGGACGGGCAGGCTGAGCTGGCGAGTTACAGACAGGCTCACAGCACGCGCGGTCGGGCAGACAGGACGTTCCGTTGATAACAGGACTGATGCCGGTCGTTGGGCGTCCCGCCGTACTCGGTGCAGCTGTACCGTATACACGGCCGTGTATTGGCTGGCGGCCAGTCGGCGGCGCTGGCCAGCGCGTGTGCGGCGAAATGTAACAACAACTCGCCTGTGTCGGAACAGAGTCTGAGCGTCTGATCGCAGGCCAGGCCGGGAGTGGGATCGAGAGCAAGAGCTCTCATTTCTGGAGGTGGACTCTAGTCACGGATGCAGCGAATCAGCAGTTAGGTCAGCGTACGATTGCGGGGGTCAGAGCTTGCTTCGAAACTTTTTAACGGCTAACGCCGTTTACCCTTGAGGCCTCTGCCGCAAGGTGTCTCCAACAGTTTTGAAGATGCTGCTGGTTTGGGGCATCATTTATGTGTGGTGTAGATTTATAGGTCTTGACCGAAAACACAAATTTGGCATTGTTCGGCATTTGTAACAGATTCGGCACTTGAAATTTGGAAACTGGCTCCAGCCGCTTAGAGGATGGCACATAAAATAAGCTTTTTGCCTGTTAGATCGTGTGCTGGGTGAATGTTGTTCCATGGGCTTAAAACTTCAAAGTACATCTATTGCACATTCCCAAGCTGGTGTCATGTGCAGCGTAATGCGTGTTTCGATAGACGTGTTTGTTTTATGGCACGGCCTCGATTGCCCGGCAGAGTGGGCGTTAGATGTCCCGGACACAGCGGTATCCCTGCTAAAGCATTGCAAACATGGCGATAAGATAGCGAAACTGCTGACGGAACTGTGCAACGTGCATGGGGCATGTCGGCCGATGCTTCTTTATCCTTTCGTCCTTGAAATCGTTAAGTCATCAATTGAAGTTTCCGTTGATGATAAACGTATCGTCTGGTGTGGGATCTGATTGTCCTCAGAACTGTCACTGTCCAACACTGGAGAAGGTAAATCACCTATTTCTGGTGGTCTGACCGCCCTCCCTGACCCTCGTCCACCCTCTCCGTCCCTGCCCTCGGCTCACAGCGACCTGCCCCGTTGACCCGCCTCTAACCTCCACCTCGTTGACCCGACTCTAACCTCTGGCCCCTCCGGCAGACGAGCTCGGCGGCACCGACCTGCTCCCAGCCGCCCGCCGCTGCCGCCACCTCCGCTGCCGCGCCCCCCGCCGCCGAGGACGACTCCCTGGAGGAGTGTACCCTGTGGGTGGCCTTCGTCACCTACCTGGCCTACTTCGTGCTGGTGGCAGTCGGCTACGTCAAGGAGTTCCTATTCCCCGTGCACCAGAAGGAAAAGGACAGACAGGTGAGAGGACGGCGGGACCGGGAGGCAGGGACACGTGTTGGGGGACGGTGCCACCGGGAGACAGGTGAGAGAAGACGGCGGGACCGGGAGGCAGGGACACGTGTTAGGGGACGGTGCCACCGGGAGACAGGTGAGAGAAGACGGATGTCAACGGGATACTGCTGGGATTGCACTGTCGTGGATGAGATGTTTGTCAGGTACCGATGGGTGGAATGACGTAACGATTTAGATCCTATTCTCTGATGCCCTCTCTGTGTGGCTATAATAGGCTCCTGACTGAGGCTGAGCGATGCTGTCATATATGTACTGAATGTAGGACATTGGACTGGGGATGCTTGGGTCACCAGCCTGTCACCGGTCAATGATTGCGTAAATTCAGTCCTTTGCAGCGTTGTTTAGCAGGCTTCGTGCATTTCGAAATAGCTGCAGAAGTTTACGCTCAATGATCCTTGCCAGACATTGATAAATGATTGACTTTTTAGGTCAGTTCGTCGTTTTCGTAGGCACTTGCTGGATTCCTCTGCAGACCATGGAATTTGAAGTGTAGCAATGAGCCTCGTTGACTTGGTCCCGTAGCAGCGCGCAGTCAACACGGAATACCTTCCGAATGCCGCCACATCGCTGACTTAGCCGCACGGCTAGCCCATTTATTCTGTTGAGCACCTAGGCAATAGGCATGAACGTGGATTTGAGCGTTGAACTCTGGCGTTTCCCTGAGGAAATATCGCGAACCGCTCAGCCAGTTACTACCCTTTATTCAAACTTCGCTCACTTACGATGCTTACCTACTTGATTTTTGTTCCTGATTATTGAATTCAGTTCCTCAAATCATGTTCGGGTGTTTTGCGCATTGAATTGAATCTAGCTCCTGTGTCCTGTCAGAGACGTTTTTTTTTTGTTTTTTTTTGTGAATTTATCATTCATGCACAATGTGCATGTGCAATGTGCATTGCACATTGCGCCCTTTGCTGACGTCACCGCCAACAGGGCTGCTTGATGCTGCTTTTGTTTCCTAGTTACCTTCAGTCGATGCCAGTACCTATTCAAATGCCCTGTCATGTTCAGAAGGGCCACTTGTGATAACGTAAATCTAACAATCAATGTGTAGGGAAGCTCTTCGTAGTAGAATAGACGGTCCAATCTTGGCCACTTGGCCCACTAACCTTTTGAAGGCATTCATCGGTACGCAACGATAGTTAGGATAGATAGGGCCTTACCACACCCAGTTATGGGAAGGCGCTATCTTGCTTCTGGTCTTATCTGGCACTGTTGGCCCCATATTGAAGACCTATCGCAATCGTACAATCACCATGACATAAGTCGCTTTCCACCTGATTTATTCGTCAGAGGCACGATGTAATTTTTAGAGGTTGATGGAGTAATTATTTGGAAATTTGTTTTGCAACATTGATATACAAGGCAAATTGTTGGAGATTCCACTTATTGAACCATCTTAATCAAAGACGGTGTTATTTATGACATCCATTCCATTCGACAAACGCTCCTTTACGTATCCGCATTCTCTGCTGGTAAACTGAGTAGGTAGTGAACCAATTCACCCTACCTCACCGAAATTCCCGAGGAGTTTGGTCTTTGTACCAGTCACATCAAGCTCGCCTGATCGTGTAGCTGGTGTTAAGTGCGCCCGATCCGGCCTGGTACGAACGTGCTGTCTCGTGTTCGCGCCCCTGTACTGACCTGGGGTTACTCAGTCACCACAGGCCTGCTCAATGCTCAACTAGAGCCATTGCAGCTATGATATCCTGTCAGCAGGCCATAACGATAGGGCGGGTGACATTTATGGGATGTTTTGCCGTGCAAATGCCCGCTCAATGCGAAAATAATGGTCATGAAGTGATTATCAGCATAAAGAAGGAGCACATCATACTGTAGATGGTAATACAGGGGTGATCATAGTTGCTATAAATCTTAAATGAAGTGTGAATTGGATCGTTATCTGCACATTACTTTCTCAAACCGCGTCGTTTAAAGTCCCACGTTCCCCGGCTGCCCAGCCGTCTGCTATAGATCACGTTTTGTGTTGATGGGCCGCTGTTTGCATTTTATTGCCGCGTTGTCTGTCGTTTAGAGAGGCGCTGTTTTCTGACCATCCATAGCGGCCCGTCTGCGGCCTCAGCTGAGAGTCGGACAGTAGGACTCGTTCGCTGCACTGGGAGGAATAAAGCTCACGAGCGTGAAACCGTGCGCTGTTCCTCGTATAACTATTCTATTTGCGTGGGTTTGTCTATCGTCTATTTCTGTTGCTTATGTTGCGTGGTCTTGGAAAGAGGAACTGCTATTTTCATCTAATATTGCCGGCATTTGCTATTTCTCAGTCGCCTCTTTAGTTTTTATGTGGTAAAGATTTTGGATTTTGTGTGTATCAACTATCAGTGCGTATATTCGTCTCGTGTTGTGCGTTCCATTGGCATTGACTCCATTCCATCGGTGTGCCCCGCTGCGCAGGGTTACACGCCGCTGTACCTGAGTTTCGAGAGTTTCTACATCCGTAACGTGTACCGGCGGATGTCGGCGTGCTTCAACAACCCGCTGGCCAGCTGCCCGGGAGGCCAGATCGACATCCAGCTGCGCGAGACGCCCGACTACGGCTTCAGCTACAGGTGGGAGCGCAGAGCCAGGGCCGCTGCGGAGGGTCACTCAGTGGGCACCGGGACTTTCCATAGTGGGCTGGCTGACGATGTCTTGCACACTTTGCTCAGGACTATAAAAATATCTTGCTCGAATATGGTATCTGTATGTTGAATGTTGGATGAGTTTATACAGAAATTTGTTGTAGAAATTATATGTAGAAATTTGTTGTAGCTTTATGATCTGCTACTAGTCTGAAGATTCTAAAAGCATCATAGCTTGTTTTAGGTTGATAAAGGACATGAAAATGCACGATCGTCGTAGTATCGCCGAAGTTGTTTTGTTCATTTATTTTCTATAAATGTAGCGCCGTAGATGATGTTTTTAGTTCCGCGCACGATTCGGACGGTTTGTAGTACCAACTCGGGCTATGTCTGTATAGTCAGTTTTCGCTACGCAGCTCAGCAGTGTGGCACAGTAAAGTTACGCCCCACAGCTCAGTAGAGGACCTGCACCGGTCACCGGTCGTCGCTGCTACCTGGTCGGCCCGTAGTCGGTGTCGTAGTGGCTGATCACAGCTGTAAGCCTTGTTGTGCTCACCCTTTAGTGATTGTGGGGCTCGGTGTCCGGGAAATGTTATCATTCGTTCTGTATTGCACGCTCTCCATGTCTGATGGGACACCAGTGGCGGCGATTGGTAAGGGCTGATTGTGTGCTGCGCATGATCACGCGACTGTTTCCATTCCGCAACCATGACTGATCACACACCTGTCCGAATTCCGGAGCCGGCTACATCTGGAATCCCCTCGGCGATTCACGGCTCACAGCTTTACTACCGGCACAATACGGCCATTTTGTGACCGTTTTTCGCCTCACAGTTCCGGCCAATTATGCCACATATCCTGCCATATCGTGTGGGCATTTCACACTGTGTTGACTATTCTGCCATGCACCTTTTGATATTTCACAACTTGCATCATCATTCATCACTGCCTGAGGCATACGTTTTACTGGACATATCACACCTCCCATCCCTGGCATCTGACGGTCCTACTCCCCTCAATTATCAACCCCTTTTCAGGGCCATATTTAGACCATTTCACTGGTCTGGCCTTCACAACCTAGCATCGCTGCTGCACAGCTTGCCAGTCTTGGTTTCAAGCCCTGAACAGTGCACAGTGCACACATCAGTGCCTGCTACTGTTTACATCTGGTAAAGACCAGGACGAAGGTCTACAAAGTAGTGTCCTCGCTGTTGCTTGGCTGCCACATCAGTGCCTTTTACGGACAAAACACCGCGTCAAAAATGGAGATGGGTGTTGTGTGGGGCATCATTAATTCAGAATAGCTCCATGCACGACGGTACATTGTTGTTGCATAACTCAACACTCATGTCCCCATGCCCGCGGTGAAGACGGTGAAGGCGCCCGCTCAGCAATGAGCTCCTTTTTGGGAGTAGTGGGATGTCAGCTCCCATCTTTGGTAAATGGCTAAGGCGTCAGGAACTGCTCTAGAACGGGGGCGCCGGCTGCCACGCTGCCTGGTCAACTGCGGTAGAGATCGAGGCCGAGACATCGAGACGAGACGAGGATCGAGACACTTTTCCCAGCGACCAGCGCGTCGTCTGACGGGGCTGTAGCCGCCCTGGTCCCGCTAGAGTGCCGGCGGGCCGTCGGTGGGCCAACCCCCTCCCTCCCCCTCCCCCGCCGGCCGCCGCCCTTGCTCGGTGCATGTGTACCGGGCGGCTGGGGCGGGGTGGGGAGGGGCCGCCGGCGATAGCTCTACACGGCAACCCGGCTCGAGCGTCTGGCGCTGAGGCCCGCGGCCGGTCGGATCGGTTACCAGACCCGTGCATACTAGTGATGTCAATTTCAGAAAACATATGTCCAGTGTCTGTCCAATGTCCAATACTTACGTCGACCGTCCGTCCAAAAATGTCCAAGCCAGCCATTTGTCCAAAGATGTCCGACATCTACGCAGTAGTTTACGCTCAACACCGTTATTTAATTTGCTTTTAATGTATCGCTACCAGCTCAAAAGTGGTAATCATATCGAAAGCTAAGCTTTCTAATAGCCAATCAATGTTAAACACGATTACTTTATAAAAATGTTGAGGTGTAGCAAGCGATTGTCCAAAGTTGTCCAAGACCTGCTGTCATTGTCCAACCGAATTCCGAATTGGACATTGGACAAAATCGAAATTCCGAAGATTCAAGTTCCGATTGACACCACTAGTGCATACTGCACATTGCACAACTGTCGGGCCTGCTGTGTGTACTGGTGGTCGTCACACGGCGGCGCCTGTGCCACTGGCCTCGTTATTATCGTGCCGTGACCGTCTGATGTGCGGGCCATTGGCAGTTGGCACCAAACGGGGCCGACACAACACACATCAGACTGTTTGTGTCATATTCCCAGTGCTGAGTGCCAGCGATGCATTTACGACGGGAAAAGTGTCGCGGTTTGTAAACGTTTTCCCACTATTTTGGGGAGATTTCCTGGTGACTAAAGCAGCCCGCGTTCCTGTTACCACTAACTTCCTCGGAGTCCCCTCACCTAAACGATCAATGATCATTGATCCAGGTGCATTCGAGGTGCAGCAGTTTCAACCTGCGTTCCGTCGATTTAACACCGTGCCTCGGCCTGGCGACAGGATGTCTGTGTGTGCGTTTGTGTACGTGCACGGGCAGCCTAGCAACCCACGTCCACGATTATGGGGGGGAGGGGGGGGGGTATTAGCCGTCTGGACAACTGCCTAACAGGATTATTTCTGTAGCGTGGCATAAGTAGGGATGAGTGAGGTGCTTCATTGTTTCCTGTTTGCATTGCGGCCACGCAGGTGTTTAATCGCATATAAGCGGTGTCTGAGGAGGTTATGTTCAGCCGGTTTTCCTTTTTAGTTGATTATTTTCCATCGCAGTGACGCTTCCGAACCTGTATTGTACTCGGCGAGCGTTGGTGGTGTGCGCTATGGAGTAAAGATCCTGGCCCCCATATAGTCTGCAGGGCGCTGTCCCAGTCACCCGTACGTTGCACTACCCGGACTTCATCGTCTTGGAAACTAGCATTGTGCACGCTCATACCACGTGCCGATGCACGCGACTGAACTTTGTTCAATTTATTCACAACCTCGTTCGCCCTCCTTCCACTCCTATCGGCGGACTAAATTTTCTACTCTGTGGCCGATTTCACCACATTCGTCTGCGCACGGGTGTTAGCTGTCAGCCCTGCAGGATCTCACTACGTGGACATTTTGTTATGCATTTCTGTGGAGTGTTGGCCCGTGGTTTGCCACGTTCCTGGAGCTACCATAACTGATTCTCTGGACATTCCGCACGCTCGTTGGTCGGCGAGGACCTCGTGGCCGTTCTGGTACTGGGGTGAACTCTGCTGCCGTCAGTAACGCCCGCTAAGACACGGTGACAGCCTGGGTGACCGTCGTCCCCTGTTGCCGGCCGAAACACCGTGCAATGACAGCTTTGTGCCCGCGGGGGTCCCAGCGGCTCTGAGCTCTACTCTATATGTGAGCCCGAGGGAGTGTGACGGCAGGTTAGACTCAGCGACCGCGGGGTCCGCAGTGGTGGCCTCGTTTTACACGCACTCACCATTGCCACGGGTCGATGGCTGCTCGCCGTGTTAGGGTCTGTTGTTTCTCGCTGACGTCTGTGTAGTATTCTGCCCTCTGTATTGTGTTGCGGCTACAGTGTAATGTGTAAGTCGTCTGTTTTTCTATTTACTCCATGTATTGGCTGCATAAAGTCTCAATTGGCACCCTGTGCGTACACCACATCTGTCACTGTTTATGTCGTATTATAGGTGTTTCGTTTGTCGCCCGCCGACCCAGTCTACTCTGACCCGTGTTTGTGCTAGAGGTGTGCGCCCGATATAGCGTGAGTCGACACCGTGTGCCCTTACAGCGCCCATCTGACACGGCATCGTTCACTGGCCGTCCTCATCCATACCGTGTTACTCCCCACTCCCAAGCGTAGACTGGGCGCACATATCGAGCGACAAAACGACACCGCCGCGCGGCTGACCTCGGTCACCCGTGTCCACCTCAGAGTCCCCCTGTGACCGCAGTCCCAGCTCGGCGACAGGGGCCCAGTGACGTCATGTGTCGGACCTGTGACGTAACGGGTGGCGTGAGGACCGTACCATACACCGCACGTGGCGACGGGCTGTCGCTGGTCGATTGTCGGTCCAAGATGTCCGGTCGGCCGGCCGGCACTCTATTCACGTGCGTTCTTTAGGGACGGTCTCTGGTAGTGACTCAGTACGCCAGTCACGCGGTGGTGTGATTGGCGCGGTCGATGACGCACTGTTGTGACGTCATTAATATGAACACCGCTGACGTCACAGCGCGTCGATTGTTTGTGAGCCGGGTGTTGTGGATACCGTCCGGCGGTTCGGCGAAAACCGCCGAGGAATGTTTGTTTCAGTTATTGGATATCGTACGGCGCAGGTGTTGACTGTGGTCGGACAGTCTCTTCGCCTGTCGGTAGGACAATTGAAACCTGTCGGTCAGACAACCGCCGCCTGTCGGTCGGATGGACTACCAAAACCTCTCGGTCAGACAACCGCCGCCTGTCGGTTGGACAACGGACAACCGTGCCCGCCTGCAGGTCGGACAGTATCAGCTGTCGGCTGGTTCGACAGCCGTGCCGTGCCGTGCCCTGGTCAGAAAGCTATTCTCGCCTGTCGGACTGTCATGCCCGCCTGTCGTTCGGATTGTCATACCCGCCTGTCTCGGTCCGCCAACCATACTCCCTGTCGGTAGGACAGCCATGGGCCTCTCTACGGCCCTTCGTGGCTGACACTGTCCTTATGATGGGCCTACGACCTACCTAGCAATGGCTGAGCGCTGACAAGTAATTCCTCGCCCTGGGTCGGCGAATCGTCGAAAACTGTGTCGGAACTTGAGGTGTAGACTGTTGCAGAGCTCGAGTAATGTTTGCATGACGTGAAAGGCACTTTGCCAACCAGCCACCGACTCGCTGTTCAAATACCACGTGCATGTGTGTAATGTGTATGCATGTCGCACTCGTGGTTTGGGTGTGCTGTGTGCACTTGTTTGACTTCTGTTGAGTGCTAGTTAGTTGTTCGGCTCGACGCCTTTGGCTAAGTGGTACCGAGGTCGGCTTCAAGCAGATAGTGGGTGGAGGCGGCCCGCCGCGCCGTCTGCCACCTGCAAGCCGAACTTGAAAACTTGTTCGGTGGGAGTCATCTGGCTCGGAAAAAAGAGCTTGCTGAAAGCTTTTGTGCAGATTGATTTTGTAAGCTACCACCTGTCTAAAAAGTGTCAATTTTGGGTCCGGTCAGACTGCTCTGTGTCGCTGCTAGCAATACCAAACAGGTGTCTTACTGTGACCCAACGCCGGCCCATGCGGTCCACTTATACTCATGACGTACTTCTCTGTACTATCGTCACTCCATTCTTAAAAAATCTCGTCGCAGTCTTCTCGCGGATAGCGATCGTTATCTCCGTTCATTGCCTCATCCGCAAAACCTCCGCCTTCCACCCGCCATTACCGCAGCCGCGCGGTGGCGGCCGGCCAGGCGGTCACCTTAGCCTCGGCCTTCCGCTGCCCCACGTCCCACCGTCCGCCTGCCCTTCTGTCCGTCTCCTCGGGGCTGCCCCTCCTGTCCGCCTGTACCGCCCCCCCCCCCGTTTGTTCGCCTGCCTGCCATTACCGTTTGTCCGCTGCAAGGCGGTCCCTCCTGTCCGCCGTCCACCTGCCCCTCCCGTCCGCCTCTACGGGGCTGCCATGGCGGCGGCGGCTCGCACTGATTGGTGTCCTATCGACCTGGCTGGCTGTCCGATGGACGATAGCGCGGCGGTACGGTACCGTATCGACTGTGCGTTTCCTCGCCACGGCGACCGTGGTCTATGTGAGTCCGGTCCACAGCGACCGTGGATGATTTGCCTCGTTACGAATTCCCGGTGGTGGCTCTCTACAGGCGTCCTACGTTAGCGCCGAGCTGGTACGGCTCGTCAGGCTGACACTGGCGGTGTATTGTAATGGTTCCGTGGTGCTTACTGGAGGTATAATGGTCCGGTTTGCGTGTTATGCATTCATGTTCGTGTCTGCGCCAAGCGAACTGGGCCGTTTGAATAGTACAGTCGGATGTTTGGCCAAGGAAGTCGGACGTTTAAACTAGGACATACTCGTACGAGTGCGTAAGCATGCCGCTAGGTGTGAAGAATCAGGGATTGGGAAGACGTCCCTTCAATTTACTTATTCCATTATGCCGCATCCAATTTTGTAGATTTATTCCTTGGGCGCAAAATGACCTTAGCAGTCGGCGCGCCCTAAAGCCTCAATCAACAAACAAACAACAACAGTAGATTTATTCTTGGTAGCGCTCTCTCATCTCTGCAAGTACATGGGAAATGCGAACTATGTTGTTCCTGGACACTCGTGTGTAACACAAACTACAGGCGCAGCATCGTGCGTACTGGAGCCGAGACTCGAGTCAGCACTGCCACCTCACGTGTGGTAGGACGGCTGCGCCGACCGGGCCGGTCCATATTGCACCCTACATATGCTAACGAGCTGGAGCCAAGCCTCGGGTCAGCGCTGTCGCCTCCGGTACAGTGCGGTAGGACGACGGCGCCGACCGGGCCCGTCCGTGTCGCACCTATGCTAACGAGCCGGGACCGCCGGTATATATTGGTTATCGTCGGCCCGCATGCCACCACCACCGGGCCGGTCGGGTCGTCGTTCCGTCGACTGCCCCAGAGCCATACTCATGGCCAGGTGCCGTGCCTCACCCACGCAGCTTGGAAATAGAGGTGGCAAAAGATGAAAATTTTGGGAACCAGACTCGAACCAGACCCGGCTGAACATTTTTGGAACCAGTCGGACCCGGTCTTAGTTGGAACCGGAACCAGTTGGACCCGTTCCCCAAAAGTCAATTAATACAAACTACTTGTAGGAATCATTAGCATCATGTAAAACAGCCTATTTCCCAAGTTGGGAATACTCATGAGCTATTGTGTGCAAAGAAACATTCACTTAATTCCCTTCATATTTTGTAATAATGTGTAGTGTGCAAGATGGTAGTTTATGGTAGTTATGGTAGTTTATGGTAGGACCCGGTTGGACCCGTCAGAAAAATTTCCAGGAACCGGTCTGGACCCATATGGGTCCAGACTGGTTCTTTGGACCGGGTCCTCGGGTCCACATTTTGCCACCTCTACTTGGAAACAAGAGCAATTATAATGAAATTAGTCCCGATCCCGGCAAAAGGCTTGTGGCAAGCGAATTCTAGATACGTTATTGATCATATAAACGGAAGCTGGGGGTTTGAAGAGTTACGGGAAGGCTATCCAAGTGGGACAGTCTTTTGACGTCATTGCAATGAGTCCACCCGTGAGTTGTGTGTGTTATGACGTGTGTCGATATGACGTGTTTTGTTGACTGTGCCGATCAGCGCTGCTCTTCAAGTCTAACCCTCGCGATAGACGCCGTCACCTCTCAGCGTTATCGCGCGGTGTCGTGTCGGATCGACCCCTCCCGCATGCTTCTGTATCGCAAATACCCGCTCAATATCCAATAACTGCTGTGTGGCGCCCGTAAAGCCGTCTGATTGATTCGATTGGACCGTCTGACCCCTCCCGCTTCACGCCTCAGTCGAACGGGCGAGGTACGCCGCTGCATCAACTTTGGCTCGTACAACTACCTGGGCTTCGCCGAGAACTCTGGCCCGTGCACGGATACGGCTGAACGACTGCTGAGGCGGGACGGCGTGGCGCCCTGCAGCTCTCGGATGCACCTCGGTGAGTAGTGCTGGGGCCGCCGCCCCGCCGATAGGGGTGGTACCGAGACGCTACAGGCGGGACGGCGTGGCGCCCTGCAGCTCTCGGATGCACCTCGGTGAGTAGTGCTGGGGCCGCCGCCCCGCCGGTGGAGGTGGTACCGAGACGCTACAGGCGGGACGGCGTGGCGCCCTGCAGCTCTCGGATGCACCTCGGTGAGTAGTGCTGGGGCCGCCGCCCCGCCGATAGGGGTGGTACCGAGACGCTACAGGCGGGACGGCGTGGGGCCCTGCAGCTCTCGAATGCACCTCGGTGAGTGGGCCCGCCCACCGCCCCGCCCGCCGCCTGTCCGGCCGGTGGGGGTGGTACCGAGACGCTACTGGAGGGGTGGGCTAGCGATAGAGTCACGGTGGCGGGGTAGGGCTATCGGGTGGCTGTTAGACTGTGTGCTGTGTCATGGACGGAAGAGAAGGCTGGGCGATGGACTGAAAGAAAATTAACTAGTCCTATCGGTATGGACTAGTTTTGGGCCGAGGATGAGTGTTTGAAGTTGTTTTGGCGGGCTTTGATTTTTGTGGTCGGTGTGTCGTGTAAGTCCTTGGTGTTTTGAACGGAGGCGTATAGTGATTGTTTTGAAGTCTGGTAGCACTGTCTGTTGTCACTGAAATGCACCTTCCTGTGGGGTAATTATTGTTTAATTGCCGGTTGATGAATACCTACCCAAACAGTTTTTCCTACCGTACATGCACTACGGTATCAACACCGAGGGTATTTAACCGAGGTATTTAACCACATTATAGGTAATCACGTTACCCATAATGCTTGTAAATTGTGGTAAAGCTCACTGGTATGTGGCTGAACGTTTGCTCCGGTCCTAGCCCGAATGCAGGCGACGGCCATCCCGTGCTACTGGTGCATCAATGCTGCAAGTGAAGCGGCTTTTGTGGTTTTCCCGTCACTAGGCAATTTATTTGGTCGTTGAGACTTTGTCGTATCTGACTCTCCCACCATTGACGTAAAGCTAACCTTGGTGAAGCATTAGGGTGTCGGTCTATCACTTGACATTGGCTGGGACACTTGAAAACGACGCCGGCAGTGATAGTTGTTTCTAGTCTGGTCATAGTCCACTTGCGGCACTACCGTTGGTCGGTATTGTCTGAAGTTGCGTATTGAGTATTGACGTAGTGATAATTATCGGTCCTCTGAGCACTGCAATGAGTTCCTGTCTCCTGACGTATGAAGAAGACTAAAAGAACCGCAGTGAAATGTTTCTCAGGTATTTCGGAGTTGACCTCTTCTGTTCGACAGTCCGACGCTGCGCTGACGTCTTCGGACATGGTGACCCACTCTAGCTGCTGCTGTCAGCAGCTCGATCCGCGGCTGTTTCGCCGTCCCCTCGCCGGCTCTGTGCTACTGCTGCCGTCCCTCGGATCTGACCTCGGCTGCCCCTCCCCGTCCCTCCAGGCAGCCAGCAGTGTCAGGACGACCTGGAGGCACTGGTGGCCGAGTACCTCGGGGTCGAGGACGCCGTCACATTCTCCATGGGGTTCGCCACGAACGCGCTCAACATCCCGACGCTGGTGGGTCGCGGCTCGCTTGTCATCAGCGACCAGCTGAACCACGCCTCGCTGATCCTGGGACTGCGGCTCTCCGGCGCCACCATCGACGTCTTCAAACACAACGGTCAGTGGGCAACACAACGGTCAGTGGGCGACTCAAACACGACTCAAACACAAGGGTCAGTGGGCGACTCAAACACGACTCAAGCACAACGGTCAGTGGGGGACCGGACGGCTGTGACGGGCCCAGCCACCCTGGTGGGACCCCGCCTGGTGCGCGTTGGGCCTTCTTTGTTTGCTGATCGCTTACACTAAGCCATACGTGCCAAACAATGTGCATAGCTGTCTGTGTTTGTAACTTGTAAAAAATCCGTTGATTCGCTCTATCTGAGCTCTGACAATGATATGTATATCTGCATCCGAACCACGTGCGCCGTTCGTCCCAAGGTCGCTGTCGTGAGTCACGGATTAGCATGCCACTGCCTTAAGCGACTCGCCAGTCCAGTACAGACTGGTTCCTACCGTGCAGTCAGCGATCCGCTGAGGATTACAGTGGGAGGAGAGCTGGGGGTGGCGGCCAGCACGTGGTCAAAGAGGCTGGGGGAGGGTGATGTGCTAGTAAGGAGGGGGGGGGGGCTATTTTACCTCTAGAAGACCCCGCGAGGTAATAAAGAATATTGGGTTGTGTGAGTGGGATGAAGCAAGGTAACAATGTGAAGTGACTGGACGAAATCATTATCCGCTGTCCGCACTGTGTTTATAAGCAATGTACCTGCTGTGGTAAGAAATCCAATGAGATCCATGATCCAATGAGATCTTAGAAATCCAATGCCCCAAAGCTTGAAGAACAATCGATATAAAATACGTTCTGTTTATTTCACGGGATGCCAACAAAGGCGCGAAAACACTCCCACCTTAGCTGCGTCCCGGGACCTTGCCGGTGTCAATGTCATCGATGGCTCGGATATTTCCCGCCGCGTGCGTGCGTGCCGTGCTATATCGGCAGTATTGGGGCTCTGATGGGGACGGGGCGCGGCGCTGAACCCCTGAGACGTGCGTAATAGTAAAATCTACCAATTCCTCAGGGCGGGAAGCGCGTCTTTATCGCGCGATGTTGCATCGTCGTCTGTGTAACCTCTGCGATATACGCGACCTTCACATTTGACCCCATATTTTGGCCCGTGTGTATTGCGTAACCTTTGGTTGCTTTGACCTACATGACCAGCTATGCACTGCAGCCGATGTTTTTTGTACCTTCGGTATGACATCCGTGACCTTTGTGGCCAAATTGCCTGTTTGTAACCTCTGTGGCCCGTGTGTGACCCATCGGTGACCTCTATACCCTCAGACATGAAGGACCTGGAGCGTAAGCTGCGTCGCGCCATCGTGGACGGCCACCCGCGCACCCACCGGCCCTGGAAGAAGATCCTCATTGTGGTGGAGGGCATCTACAGCATGGAGGGCTCCATCTGCAAACTGCCCGAGATCATCGCACTCAAGAAAAAGTACAAGGTCGGTGACATATGTCGGCTGATCAGGGTGGCCGAAATTGTTAAGCAAGCCGGGTATGACGACGAGAATGGTTGAATTTAGTAAAGTTTCGTTGTTTGTTCAATTTCCTATGACAGCGCGTGCCATTTCAGCTTTTTTTGGCGTGGTACTGTCTACCTCACCATTGGTATTTATGGGCGTAACGTGTTTCTTATTGCTCGGTAGCTAGTAAGTAAACATGGGCACTAAACACATGAGAAGCTTGCGTCTCCGCGTCATTATGTTCTGTTAGATACCACGTCAGTAGTATCTGTAGTTTTGGGGCTCGTCTTAACTTTTTTAAACTCTAGCTGGATTGGTATAGTTCCGCGCTAGGAGCGACGGAGCCAGTTCGTAAAGTGTCCCGCCTAAGCAGGTGTCCGGGCGCCGCACCCGGCCTCGTCTGCCGAATGCGCACGGTTATGTGTATTCAGGCGCTGACGCCAGGGTTGGTGGTGTTGGGGAGGATTCGATTGAGGCACGGTCAGACAGGCCCGGGGTGGTTGCCGGGTCCCGTGACCTGCTGGTATGTCGCCGACGGAGCGGCGATAGGCGGCTGATCTCGGACCTCAGTGAGACCGTGGTTATCCTCCCAGGCCGATAGGGCACGACCCACACCCCCGCGTGTTGACACGGGAGTGTGGGGTGCACCCGACACGGGAGCATAGACCCGCACTCCGTGCTGGGTGCACCCGGTACGGAAGTGTTGGTATGCGGCGGCTCGAGTGTGTCAACAGTGTACTCAGAATAGATTCATGGCTGGCGATAGAGCCGGTATGGTGCACCGGTAGCAATGTATTCTGAAGTATGGTCTGCAATATTGATAATGTCGTTTAATGGTATCGTCGACGACGCTTTAAACTATTCAGGTGTAGGACTGTATAATTCAGCTTAAACACGTCCATGAAGAAAGTGGCCAGCAATTGCGGATAATATGTGAGGTCGTGACCCCGCACCTCTGACCCCTACCCCCTGTTCCCCTATCTCTGCCCCAGGCGTACCTGTGGGTGACCCCTCCCCTACATCTACCCCCAGGCGTACCTGTACCTGGACGAGGCACACAGTATCGGCGCGCCGACCGTTCCGCTATCTCTGCCCTCAGGCGTACCTGTACCTGGACGAGGCACACAGTATCGGCGCGCTGACCGCTCCCCTATATCTGCCCCCAGGCGTACCTGTACCTGGACGAGGCACACAGTATCGGCGCGCTCGGTCCCACCGGCCGCGGCGTCTGCGAGTACTACGGCTGTGATACGCGCGACATCGACGTGCTCATGGGCACCTTCACCAAGAGTTTCGGCGCCATCGGCGGCTACATGGCCGGCAGCAGGGTGAGTCGGCGAGGGGGCTGACTACGGCTCCCGTGAGTCGGTGAGAGGGGCTCACCGGAGGGGCTCACCAGCCTCTGTGAGTCGGCAAAGGGGCTGTGAGTTGGCGAGGGGGACTCGCCAACCCCGTGAGTCAGTGAGCTCAGGAGTTCTGACGGGTCAGCTGTGGGTTCATTGGCTCTGGCTTCGTTAGCGGTAGGATTATCAGCTCCATGGTTTAGTGAATGGCCAACTGGGCGGATTTTAACAAGTCATTCCGGCAAAGCCACAGAAATGGGTGACCTGAGGCCTCTTGCACCAAAATCCTCTTGCACCAATGCTTGAATTATTTTGCATCGTATACCCAATCCAAGACTCAAATGTGACAATTTGCGTGTAAAATTTACCAAGCACCTGTAGGATTATATGTTGGGCTATTGCAAACAAATTTACCACCGTTTGATTAGCTTATTCTGAAACCGGTTTTTCGATTTTACCTAGCTAGGTAGTTTGGTGCAAGAGGCCTCTGATTGACTGTGACGGTTAAGTGCACGGCTTATCTTGCGTAATTGTCCGTTCAGTGGGCATTGGCGGCATTGGTGGTGGCATTAGCTGAGCATGAATAGAGCACTCATGCATGTAGGTATAGGCCACGTTCGGCTAGAGTAAGATTAGATTTTTACTTGACGACTGTAGTTTCATTGATTCAACACCTCCCTCTTGTCGGCCTTCTCTTGATCCATTATCATGCACGCATGCGGGCCGACAAGCTCACTCACAGATATCCGACGACTTTTCTCTTTGAGTGTTGTCTCAAGAGCTAGTTTCCCGGCGTTTGAGCGTGGAGACGAGTGGGCGGGTGGTTTGGAGGCGCCGGCAGACGCGGCCACTCGACTTCTGCCCTTTGACGGGACCTGTAGGCGGGGCACCGGCCTCGTGGCGCCATCTCTGGCCGGCCTCGGAGGGCCGAGGGAGTCAGGAGTCAGCTCGCGGCGGCGGCTAGGAAATGACGGCACAGTTCTAAGACGTCGGCGAACGATATTATTGGAGCTGTTTTATGACCCTTTGAATCAGCAGGTGCTAGTCTATCGCTGGTTCGCGGCATCCAGCCGTTAGTGCTGATAGCGCTGCCAGACATGACACGTTTTATGAGTGTTCCCCCTCGCTGTATTAGATGACTGACCATGAACGATGTTTACCCGTCTCCTGAGATTGCCCCCCCCCCCTCTCCCCGTCACTGACGGCCGCCCCCGTCTCCCCGCAGCGTCTGATTGCGCACGTGCGCCGGCACAGCCACAGCATGTTCTACGCGTCCGGGCTGCCGCCACCAGTGGCCGGTCAGATCAGCGCCGTACTGTGCGAGCTGCTGGGCCGCGGCGGCGCCGGCGTCGGACGCGCGCGCATCCGCCGCCTGACCGACAACACGCGCTACTTCCGCAAACGGCTCAGCCAGATGGGCTTCATCCTGTACGGCGACGACGACTCGCCGGTAGTGCCGCTGCTCATCTTCCTGCCGGCAAAGGCCTGGTGAGTGGCACGGCGCTGGTGAGGGTGATGGCAGTGGGCTGACGGGAGGCCGGCCATGGTGTGCCTTTGGATCTGCGGAGTTTGAAATGTGTGTAAAGGTGACCAGTAATGCAATTGCACAGCCTGCAGTGATGTGTTTAATATGCGTGTACTCGCGGCGGCTATTTGCTAACGCTCGCGGCCCGCGCTGCGGTGTGTGGTCCGCAGAGCGTCGCGTGACGGAACACAGCGCTGTCGGCAGTCCATACACGCCACGGGGCCGGCCTCGGTCGATACCGCACCGCGTCAACAGGTTGTTAACCGTGCTGTTTCATTCCAGAGCACTTACCCGGGGCATTAGCTGTAAATGGAGTGGGGTAGCTGTATGTCTGAGAGGCTCGAACGAGATGCTGATTCGCCGCTGCAGTATATTCAGCGGCCGTTTTAGCGCTGCAGGTCGGCTCTGTTCGCGCCTCTGTGCCGTCTCCCCGTGTTCCCGCCGAGTGGTTAGCCGGTGTATACCGGATCAGTCCGGCCAACGCCAACAGTTACATGGTGATCACCCTATTGGTATGCCGGTCGCGGCCACGGCTGTGGCTTCCGGCGGCTACCGTTGGCTGAGGGCGAATGCGACTGTGTGATGTTTGCTCTTGTTACCTCTGCTGTCCCAGTCCCTATCTGCCGTGCCGTCATGCACCTGACCCTGTATTTTGTCTGTCTCCAGCGCGTTCTGGAGTGAGCTGATGAAGCACAACGTGGCGACGGTGATTGTCGGATTCCCGGCCACGCCGATTCTGAAGGTGCGCTGCCGGTTCTGCGTGTCTGCGGCGCACAACAAGGAGGTGCTCGATAAGGTACGGCGCGAGACGAAAGGGGGAAGGAGGGTTGTTGGCAGTGGTGCGCTTGCAGAAAGGTTTCTGCGCAAGGCCATATTTTCTGCGTCTTTTTGTTTGACATCGTTTACTTGGTTTAGTATACATTTCAGTTTTATTTTATTGGAACATCTGGAGTTCTTCGAACGCGCATTTATGGACCGATGCCGTTTATTTTGCCTCAAAGCTTTTCCACGTGAATTTGCTTTTGTGCCTGTTATCGGCTAAGAATTGTTGTGATGTGTTCGACAGTTGGCTCCCTTCCGGTCACGGGCTCGTCTGACTCCCTCCCCGTCTGTCTTCAGATCCTGGACCTGATTGACAAGATCGGTGACGACCTGGAGATAAAGTACTCGAGTCGGCCGCGCACCAACCACCCGATTGAGTACGGCCGCTGCTAGCGGCTGTCGGGCCGCTGCTAGCCGCTCCTGGCGGGGTGGCTGGATATGGAACGGCCTGAGGTACCGGCCGGGCTACTGTACCGGTCGGGACACAGGGTCACAGCCCAGAGAGGCCGGAGAGCCACCGCCCGGCACAGTCCGCCGCGCCAACAGTCTGACACGGCCTGTACTCCGGCGTGGTACCGGGGTACCGGGGTCTCAGTGGTACCGGGGTCTGAGGGTACCGACAGGGCCAGTCTGGTACAGTCTAATGTCAGTACAGCGCGCCTGGGTACGGCGGTGGTGCGGGTAACTCGCCGCGGCCGGCCGGCGGCTGGCGAGCGGCCGACCAGCGCGCTCCGTGCCTCACGAGCCGCGCGCTGAGACCGGACTCCGGTGAGGACTCCCTTCCCGACCTGCGAGGCCGGATCGGTTCATCGGTCAGTGGTGGTGCTTCGACCGGCGCAACTTGCCAGGTTCGGCGCCGGGGAGGCTCTGGAGGAGGTGACTACGGTGAAGCTGCAGTGAGGAGAGTACTAGGAAGTAGTGTGGATGGTTTGGGAGTCGCAGCGCCGCTGACTGTGGACTGCCGGCCGGTCTCCGCCTATTGTGATATCGGGAGCGGGGTACGGGAGGTCGGCCGTGGCTGACGGACGCCCCGGCGGGTGTGGTGTGGAGAGAGAGGGTTGGGTAGAGCGGCCAGTGTCGGAGGGGAGAGAGTCGTCCCGGGAGCCTTGTCCGTGTGAGTGCTGAGCTGTGGGCAGGGTACGATCACAGAGGGGTGGGCTGCCCTCCTCTGAAACTCTGCACCCGTGTCAGTGTGACGTATTTCACCGAGAGCATTTAGATCATGAAGTGTATGAAAGTTGACGCTGAGAGCGATACTATTTACCTCTGCCCTGAATAGCTGAGCTCTGCGAAACTGATTGTGCTGGGAAGACGTTTTGGTAGGATGCGTATAGTGTCTGACCCGTGTTTGTAGTATGTTTAGAGTGATTGGTCCGTGTATAATTTAGGATTCATAGTGTGTGATTGCGCTGCTGCGGTCGCCGCAGCCCGGTACAACTGTGTGCGCCGTCTGTCTTGCTGCCTTACGATGCCTGAACACGGCGTCCCGCCGTTAATCACCGCCCTCCGATTCCAGTGCAATGTGTGACGTCATTGGAGCGATGTAGTTCGCGCACTCGCCGCCGCGCCCCGGTGGCGCTGTCGGCGCACCGTGCTAACTGCGATCGCGCCTACTGGAGAAGTGTGCTGCCGGCATTCTGTTGCATTTTTACGCGTCTTTTCTGTGGCTCGTCGTTGTTAGTGGTGGTCGTGTAGCCGTGTGTGGACGGCGTGGCTTCTTTTCGGCCCGGTTTCTGGGGTCTGTCGGTCAATGTACAAGTGGTGTGTCTGTGCCGGTGTCGACGCTGTCTGGTTGTCGCTGTGGTCGCCACCGCGCCTCGCTGCGTGCGTTATGAGATGGATTTTGTCGAGTCACTCAGAGCGCGCCTATCAGCTGGAGAGGTATTTAGACAGCGGCGCCGGCGTCTTTTACCGGCGTCGAGCCCAGCCCGTGGATATGTCGGGGTGTGCGTGCCGAGACGCTCGTTTGCTAGTGTGCCTCGGGGCGAGCCGTGCTGTGCTGTCAGCGACGTACGCTGCCTTGCCTTTTTCGTGTCGCCATCCTAACCGCCGGCTGGTCAGTCAGGGTTTTGTTCATTTTTATACATGGTTTTGCAGTCAGTCTGTGCGCCGCTTTCCGTTGCTTTGCCAGTGATCTGTGACGTCAAAAGCACCTGAAGGCCGCCACAAAAATATACATCTTTTAGAAAGACACTATTCACTGATGTTGCGCCGCTTGCCGCTCGAAATAGATTTATGTTGGACCCGAAGCTTGCATTGCATCGTCCATTTTGATAGATTTTAGGGTCAATGCTGTATTGTGTGCAGGAGGTTCTGATCAGTCCGCATTACGCATAATTGGCCGAGCAATGACTGCCCGTGTTTCTCGAGCGAGGGTACTGTAAGTGCTGAGAATGTGAACGTTTTACGTATTGAATACACTGAAGCATCGTTGCTGTGATTTCCCGCGATTTACATATGCCGTATGCACCTGCCATCTATCGGGAGCTATGAGGTTGCAGGTTGTCCGGTCAGGTCCGTCCTGAACTCTGGGCCGCCTGAGACTGGGAGGCACTGCATGGCGTGCGTCGCAACTCGCAGGAAACCTTTCATTCTGGTTAGGTTCAGTTTTTTTTGGGGGGGGGGGGGGACGCCGTCGGCTGTGCTTCTTTGATTGTCACGATAAAGTTGGCAGCGCGCTGTTGGAATGCACATTTCGGCACCCAAAAAGTAAGACAAACACTTCAACAGCACTGAAATATATTCAATATATGTAATACATGACTTTCCATATAGGTACAGGACAGTCTGCAAGACTCCTGCGTCTTCTATCCGATGTGCATGACTCCACGACCCTCGCACAGCGTTGCAAGGCGATAAATATGAGATATAATGTCCCCTGTTAATCACTGGTAATATAGACCTCACGGAGGCCGCACAACACACTTTGGCATATCCAGCAAATGAAGTAAACAGACCACACAATAAGCACATAAGGCACTTCACAAAACATTCCCATTAACATAAGACATGCTCGCGCAGCCTGAAGGCGCTACTGACTCGGAGTGCGCTGCCGCCTGTGTACCACCAAAGAGTGGAGCACAGAAGCGCCCCCTCTGAACAGGACACAGCCGTCCCAATACGGTCAAACAAGGCCAACGGGTCGCCGTCCGCCACAGCCGGCCGGCGGCTGCACTAGCACGCCGGCCGCGGCGACTCCGGCTGCCGGCACGCGTAGTGGACGACGTCGCCGCCGGGCAGCAGCGCGAACGCGCTCTGTGCGGCGAAGCGTCGGCCGCAGGCGGGGCACGTCTGTCCGTCACTGAGGGTGAGTCGGCGACTGCGGTGTCGGCCTCGGCCGGCGCGCTGCCGCTCCGCCTGCCGCTGGCACAGCGCGCTCTCCAGCTGGTGGCGGCGCAGTGCCGTCTGCCGGCGCGCCACAGAGCTCACCAGGAAGCGCTCCAGGTCACCGACGCCGAGCGAGGCCGGCAGCAGGCGCAGCGCCTCGACCGGGTCCATCTTATCGCCGTGCTGGTTGAGCAGCTGGATGGCCGCACGTAAGTCGGGCGGCAGCGGCGCGCACGAGGGCGCCAGCACCCCGAGCAGCTTGGGACTGATCTCGGTGGCCAGCTGAGCCAGCAGCGTCAGGTACACCTGAGCGGGCGGGTGGGGACGGGGGCAGCGTCAGGTACAGGGGACCCAGGGGGAGGCACGGAGGGCAGCAGCGTAAGGTGCAGCGGACCGGGACCGGTAGAAGGGGGACGGGGCACAGCGTCAGGTACTTACAACGAACCGGGGGACGGGACAGTAGAGTCAGGTTCACACTGGCGATATAAGTCTCACAGAGGCCACACAGCACACTTTGGCATATTCTTAGATCCAGCAATTTGCTCTGGCAACTCCCCTCCCTTAACACAGCGGACGGGCGCGTCAGACTAGCCGCCGCCGGTGGCCGCCGCGGTCACCCACCTGATCGTCAGCGGGCCGGCGGCCGCCGTGGTGGTGCCGGCAGTACTGCAGCGCCTTCCCCGGGTCGCGCAGGATGTGCACGTAGATGGTGAGCGCCTGCTCGTGGCGGCCCAGTCTGCCCAGCAGGATGGCTCGCTCCTCGAAGAACGCGTCGTGCGGGAAGTGCACCAGGATCTGTTCGGGTATGTAGTGCTCGGAGCGCGTGAGGAGCTCGACCAGCCGGCGCCGGTAGTGGCCGGCCCGCTCGGCCGTCTCGGCGCTCTCGGCCAGCGCCCGGTACAGGTAGAGCAGCTCGTTGTGGAACATGGGGTGCGTCTCGTGCCACACGTTGATGACGTGCTCCAGGTACTGGGGCAGCAGCTGGGGCGCCGTGCGCCGCAGGTATTCGCACACGCGCGCCCGCGGCAGCGTCTCCACCTCCTGCAGGTCGTCGGTGAAAATGAGCAGGCCCTGGTCGGGGCTCTGGAGCAGCACGGGCCGCGCGAACTCCTCGATCAGGTCCATGTGCTCGGCGCCCAGGTGCTGCAGGTAGTGGACCAGCCAGTCGGTGCCGTACAGCGCCGACTCGGCCCGGCCGCTGTGCCGCACCAGCAGCTCCAGCGCCCGGCGGTGCAGCCGCCGCGTCTGGTACAGGATGATCAGCTCGGCCAGCTTGTGGTCCTTTTTGAGCGCGTGCTCCGTCTCCTCCAGGTGACAGTGGTTGTCCTTGAGCCGCAGCAGCGAGGCCACCAGCGCCGAGTTGGTCTGCAGGTAACACTTGAGCAGCGTGGTGTCGACAATCTGCAGCAGCTGCGGCCGCGAGCGCACCGTGCCGCTGCCCTCCACGATGGCCCGGTTGCAGACGGTGCTGCTGCTGCTGTCGTCCTTCATCAGCTGGTGGCGCACCTGTATGAGGTAGTCGGAGAGCGCCACCAGGCCGTTCTCCAGGTCCCTGCCCTGCAGCTCGGCCAGCCGGCCCGGGTACTCCAGCTGACTCCAGTACTGCTGCGGCAGAAGGTCCGGGAACAGGCCGATTACGTGAGACGGGTCCGTGTTGAGCTCCAGGAATATCTGCATCGCCTCCTTGAAGTGTTTCTGGGTGAACAGGTCGAAGGCGTACAGGTTGCGGATGTGCTGCCGCTGCTGGGCCTTCTCGTCGGCGGCGTCGCTGGACAGGTTGGCCAGCTCCAGCGCCAGCTGGAACTGTCTCTGCTGCACCAGACTGTTGACCTGAGTGCCCACCGCCACGGCCCGCAGCAGCCAGAGGTGAGACGCAGACGCCAGCACCATCTGGCCGGCGCCGGTGCGCGCCATGAACCGCGGCGCCTCCCAGCTGATGGTCTGGATGTGTCGGCGCGGCTCCACCGTCTGCACCTCCACGTGGGCGGCGCACAGTGCCACCAGGTACGGCGCGTCGTACAGCAGCGCGTGTGGCACCTTGGACCAGGTGACGGGCAGCTTCTGCGTGGGGTTGCCGTCGCGGTCTATGAAGATGGTCTGCTGGTCCCGCACCAGCGCCAGTCGGCCCTCGCCCAGGTGGGCGATGGTCGGCTCACCGGATTTGCCCGTGGGAAACAGCTCACGCTCCTCGCCAGACAGCTTGAGCAGGAAATAGTCGCTGCGCAGCCCGACGCAGATGGCATTGCCGTTCCAGGCCAGTGCTCGCGGTACGTCCGGAACAGCCAGGTCTGCCATCAGCTCGTGGAACTCGCGATTCTTCCAGTAGTACAGCTGCAGCTTCCGCTTGACAGCCACACAGAGTCGTACCACCAGCGACTGGTCGCCAGTCAGGCTGGTCTGCCGCTGTATGTCCACTTTGAACATGGATGCTCCTTTGGATCTGGGTATTGAGGTTAACAGGTTAAAGTTGAATGACCCCAGGTCATGTGCAGTTACCAGATTATCTGACAGACATATCAGGGTCTGATATTCTGGCAGCACCTCCACCTGTAGCACGGCCTTTTTGGAGAAATTCTTGTTCGACCTGAGCAACTGAACATCGCAGCGGCACGGCTTGGCGCTGGGCTTGAGCGCGTAGAGCAGCAGGTGGCCCTGTTTAGTGCCCACTGCCACCTTGTCATCAAATGTTGCAATTGATTCAATTTGCAGGGGAAGCTTCTCCAGAATTGGTATACACTCATATGCTTCATGCATTTTTGACTTCCGTTTTCACGTATTCACTTCTGGAGAAAATATCATTGAGATTTATACACTAATGTCTAATTATGACATCCAATGTGGACAGTCATTTTCGAGGTGGTAATGAACCTGTTCCCTCCACAGCGCTCCATAGACCCACACAAACAACGCCAATATAAAAACCAAGGCATATAAAAACACCCATAGACCTTCGATCTTTGTTTATAGATCGATAGATGTCCTCAAATTGTTGGTCTGTGACAGAGAGGTTATTATCGTGGGAGACTTCAACCTCCCAGATATCAACTGGAATAATGCGACATCCATCTCTCTCCACAGGGAATCTTCCTTATCTGGGTCTTTCTTAGAGCTTTTCAGGAGTTGTGGCCTGATACAGTGGGTCACGCAACCTACGTACCCTAGATCAGGGAACACGCTGGATCTTCTTCTCACCACTGACCATGATCGTATCGGCGACGTGTGCACTGAAGCTCCGCTGCCAGCCTGTGACCACTGTCCAGTCCTGTTTGACTATGTATTTGAAACAGGTGGTGAGCTGGAAGAGACCGTCCCCAACAACCGTCTAGCATGGCACAAGGGTAACTACACGGCGATCTCGGAAGTACTATCGCTTGTTGACTGGGATTTTGAGTTTGCCTACCTTAACGTAACTTCCTCATATGATAAATTTGTTGAGATTGTCAGTGATGTAGTTAAGGAACATGTACCTGTCAAGACCCTCCGGCCCAGGAGTGCTGTGCCATGGAAGGTAACGCCCCCAGGGAGTCTGATACGGGACCGGCAGCACGCTTGGCAGGCCTACAAGAATATCCGCAGACAGAGTGGTAGGCGCTCTAACGATGCTCTTGAAGCGTATTCAAAGTTTTGCAGCCTGAACCGCCAATGCAGATCGTTTGCCGTGTCTTCCCAGGCCAGGTATGAAGCAGGGCTGATTGATGCGTGGAGAGACAACCCTAAACTTTTTCATGCCTATGTCAGATCCAAGAAGACTGCCCCTGCCACTGTGGGCCCGCTTAGGCTCCCAGGTGGCCAGGTGAGTGGTGATCCCAAGAAAATGAGTGAGTGTCTGGCCTCCTCCTTTTCATCGGTGTTCTGCCAGTCTACCCCGACTCACCAGGAGCCCCACCAGTTGTCTGACGCATTCATTGACAGGCTGGAGTTCTCCATTGGCGACGTGCATGCACTGCTCCGTGGCTTGGACGGGAACTCAGCTATGGGCCCGGACCTAATACATCCCCTACTTCTGAATAAGTGTGCTAACGCATTGGCTTACCCCTTGTACGTCATATTCTCACGTTCACTGTCTGAAGGTTGTGTTCCCATGATGTGGAAAAAGTCACTGGTTGTACCTATTTTTAAAAAAGGCAGCAGATATGATCCACTGAATTACAGGCCCATCAGCCTAACCTCAGTGTCTTGCAAGGCCATGGAAAGACTAATATGTGCCCATGTCCACAGCTACCTGGAGGAACACTCTGTCTTGTCTGATCACCAGTTTGGATTCCGCCCGGGGCGCTCCACCGTTGACCAGTTGCTGCTGGTGTACAATGATGTTTCACAGGCACTGGATGATGGTAGCACAGTTGATGTAATCCTGTTTGACTACAGCAAGGCCTTTGATGTTGTGAACCACAGCATACTATTGACCAAACTTCGCCTCATCGGGATTGATGGCTCGCTGCTTGACTGGATCTCATCGTTTCTCTCTCACAGAACGTTACAGGTCGGCGTGATGGACATACTGAGTAGCTCTAAGGCTGTATTAAGTGGTGTCCCTCAGGGATCGGTCCTCGGCCCTCTCCTTTTTCTTGTGTATATCAACCACATAGCCTCTCAACTGTCTTGTAAGCATAAGGTGTTCGCTGATGACTTAAAAATTTATGCATGTACTAGCAGGTTGACTGACGCAGACGATACCAACCCTGTGCAGTCATTGCAATCTGATGTGGACGTTCTAGTGCGCACTTCTGAATCCTGGGGACTGCATCTAAACGCCAGTAAATGCGCCGTGCTAAGATTCTCCAGATCCTCCCGGAATCTAGAACAGGTGCCCCCCACCCCCTATGTCCTTAATGGGAACCCGCTTCCCTTTGTCAGCTCACATCCTGACTTAGGGGTTACAGTGGACATATCCTTGAAGTTCCACCTACACATTGAATCCGTCGCTCACAAAGCCTCAGGACTCTGCCACAGCTTCCTCAAATCCACAGTGTGTCGCAATCCTGATTTTATGACATTCCTTTTCAAGACCCACGTCAGACCAGTTATTGAATATGGTTCGTGTCTTTGGAACACAGGCTACGTGGAGGATGCTCGGAAACTCGAACGTGTCCAGAGGCAATGGACTAAGCGCGTGGAGTCACTATCAGACTTAACTTATGCAGAGAGACTGAACAGGCTAGGGCTCTACTCTGTACAGGGAAGGCTGACTAGGGCTGACCTCATCCAGTACTGGAAGATTGTGAATGGTCACAGCTGTATAAGTCCAGACTCCATGTTCACTCTAACCGACAGCAGCGTCACCAGAGGTCACAGTCGTAAGATTTATGTGACGCGTTCGTGCACTGATGTACGTAAGCGCTTTTTCTCCAAACGATGTGTTAACCTCTGGAACAGCCTCCCTGAATCTGTTGTTACTGCTCCGGACATCCTGTCCTTCAAGAGGGGTCTTGAGCAGCATATCCCAGACAAACTCGTAGAATATTTGTAAAATCGCTCGTTATATTGGTATTCTCTGTATGTATTATCGCTAACATGAAATGTATCTATTGCCTGTCATACTGCAGACACACATTTCCAGTTCTCATTCTTGTGATCTACGTTGCCAAACTGGAACAACTGTATAGCATGTTTTGAACTGGCGTGTCTTGTGAGACAGGGTTCCTATCCTTCCTTACCAGCCCTTTTTCCTAAGACTACCAAGCGAAGGGAACCCAACCAGGTAAGTGAACCAGGTAAGTTTTCACAAGACCAACACAAGACGATCGTCGTATTATGGCCTTGGACAAGGATATATACACCTTTCATTACGTCACGAACAGCCTAGCATTCCAAGAAGTTGATAGCTTGTGAGTGAAGGGTGTAAAATCAAAGATAAATTATCGGTAGTCAATTTCACATAAATTATTTCGTTCTGTTAATGAAGTTATGCAAGACTGGCCTAAATAATGGCATTTTACTTCAGTGCTAGCCAGTAGCCATGCTCGAAATGAAAGACGTCATCAAAATGTTATATTCCTTTCGGCTAATTTTTACAACGCAGTCCCTATTTACCGCCACCTTGCCGCGTTGTCCTCCTGTGTTGGAAGTTGGGGTTGGATGTTGGGTTTTTATTTTAAAGTTGTTATTGGATGGTGTCAGGTAGGTATATGGCGAATTATTTATATATTCAATTAGCATCAAAGCATTGTCATCAATCATTGGGCTGACTGGGTTTAAAGTGATTGCTCTTTATCATCTTGTATCATTGAAATTTGAAAGGCGCCCTTTCAAGTTTCAAGCAATCCAATTATCAGACCTCAGCCTATTTATAAAAACCCAAATTTATAAAATAAAAAATAAAAATAAATAAAGATGCATGCTCACTGAGTCATTTCTGACCTTATCCGGATGTGGGCCCTGAATAGACCCGGTCTACCCAAGCCCACTAGTAAAACCTAAACCTAAACCTAAAAAACCTGACCTGTGCTCTGAGTTGCCTCAGCCTCCTTTCTTCAAATGAAGATGAGTTAGCTGCCATGCTCAGTGGGCCAATTATTTTGAATGTAAGAGTGACAGGTGCTACTATGGCCCCACCAATCCTGCTTTGATTTAAAATGTCCCATCAGTGTGAAAAAGCCGCGCAGTTCACAGGGGTTACTTTCTGGCATTAGTAGAGCAGACGTCACACGAGGGTTTTCCAACCGAGGAGAGGTGCTGTAGGTTTGTGGGTTGTAGGGTAGGTTTGTAGGTTAGGTTAGGTTTGTGCCATAGGGTTAATATAAGAATTCTGAAATTATCAGTAGGGTAGTAGAGTTTGGGCCCTACCTGGTCAAGCCTAAACAAAACAACACCCATGATGCAGTTCATAAGTAAGAGGCCAAGAATAGCTTGAGCTAGCAATCAGGTTCCCTGTTATGGGAAAATGGGGAGTATATTGAAAAAACAATGCTTCTTTCACTTTGGATTGTCTAGCTAAAGCACATCTCTCTGCATCCTTTAGTGTCTTGATTGGTATGGCAGCTAAATTGATATGTTTTATGCATTACAAACAATCAGACCTGATCTTGCCAAACTTTAAACCTACATAAGACTAACTTACAACTCACTTAATTAGACAAATGCCTCTGGCTTTTGCAGTGCAGTGGAACAGGCATTTTTCTCAACTGTCAAAGACAGCAGATTGTGGTTATTGATGTCATATTTGTCAAGTGGGTAACCTGAATGTATCTTGCAGGTAACCTGGGCTAACGTGTAAGCATCTTCCAGTGAGTTGCTACCTACCACGGTGACAGTGATAAGTAGATATACAGGGTGTCTCAAAAGTTTGTTTACACATTTCCCATGTCAATAAAGCATATAAGAACCGGCCAAAAATCTAAGGTTTTGGTGTCCGTGTGTACACTAGACAAATATGCATGCTTTGACAACTGATTCGGGAGGTTGGAAACCAAACCCTTTGCTGTATCTCCAAAAATATTTGCCCATACCGATTTTCGTCACTCCGTCAGCTGCCGGAGGCTGATAAAAGGTTACCAGCTTTCAAGCTCTTGTAGGGTAGGGTGTTCCATTTTGAAAAAGTTTCTAGGATCCGTCGGGCCGGGTCAGAATTCTTGTCGATACCATGACACAATGTTGTGTGCAAAATTTCATTCTGATCGGATAAATTTATCCCGTCCCGCAAAGCGGCCAAAGTTTTCCCTATGTTTACTATAAGGGGATGGGCGATAACACGGATTCTCCCACTCAGTTCACATTTTTTGCTCAATACGCACTGGCAGTCACTAAATAAGAACAGCAAAGGAGAGAAACACATCAGAGTGGAATAGGCATTAGTGAAAATAGCATATCGGTACATATTAAAAGACGAAGTCCACCACGCGAGCCATCCTAAACCAATCTCCCGCCCGGATGCAACGCCCAGTGTAGTTAGGCTCCTCGACCTGAAGGAAGTGCTGTCACTGTTCCTTGCCGTGCGCGATGGCGCTAAAAATTTGCCGCTGATGAGGGCAGCAGTGCAGCACCCGGCTCCTGCAAAGTCGTTTACCACCCGTATATGTGTCGGTCGCCGACGACCAGTGGTCAAGTCGTCATTGTACGACCCTTCGGCCGGGTCCACTTTGAGGAAATCGTGACTGGCCCCGAGGGCGGTGCCGAGACCAACATATGCAAAGGACGCCAGCGAGCGCTGCTCCACTGCGTCGAGGGCGACGTCGACGCGGGAGGGTTCTTCTATCTTAGCCGCTGCCGCATGGAGGTGGCAGTCGCCTGCTTTTCCTCGACCACCGTCCCGACGCCGAAGGAGACCGATGGCCTTGAGACCTTGCCTATCACCTTTCCCGGTTACCTTCCGATATCCGTGTGGTAAGCGGCGAGGGCCTTTGAGGAGGGCGATGTCAGTTCCCCATGCTGAGGTCGATCAATGGGCAGACAGTCACGATGCTACTCTTGTGACGATTAAGGTGGTGAACTGGACCATCGTCCTCTTCTCGTGCTCGGTGAGCGCGAGCTGGCAGAAGAGAATGAATGATCTTGAGTGTGTTCATCACCTTTGCAATCCAACGACCACGTTGTAAGGCAACCGGTTCCCCGGTTCCGGATGCTGGCCTCAAAATCACAGTCCATCACGACGATGGTGAACTGCACCACATCGCGGCAGTCATCCCGGGGCCGCTGCTTCATCAGCAACGCACATCAGGTGACAATCATCTTGTCGGCGAAATCGATTAAGTAATTGAGCGGTTTGAACGACACTCGTTCCGTGAGCTGCCACCACTTTACAAACCGCTTGAACGACGGGATCTCGGGAGCCCGGGGCCGGAAGACGGATGGTGTGTGCCAAGTGAAAGAGGCGCCCTGCACTTGCTCGTTCGTAAGGGACTGTTTCATCCAGCAAGGATTTGCTTTTTCTGGCTGCCAAAACAAGCCACATTTCGGTGATTGAGCGTGTGCCTCTTGCAGCTACAGCGGGGATCCCAAACATAGGCAAAGCCACAATTAGCGTAATGCATATCGCACCTCCTGGCATTTATAGTGGCTTGTACTGGCACTGGAGAACAGGAACTGCAACAGGAATTGTGGATTATCGTTCCTGTCTGTGGCTGATAGGAAGACTAGATCTATCATTGAGAAGGCTAGAGAGGACTGGTGCGATGAGCAGGCAAGCTCATTGGTAGATAGCCGCTGGCATGACTGGGCAATGTTGAAAGACGAATATTCTCCCTATACTAAAGACTGGTAGGCATAATGGAAACTTTGACCGCTTTGCGGGACGGGAAAAAATCATCCGATCTTAAAGGAAATAGTTCACTTTTAACATGGGGTTTTGAACTGGAATAGCAGTTTCGTAGCATGAGCTGAGACTAGCACAAATCAGGAGCTTTTACGGCTCAACGATCACCCTAGACGAAGATATTCCATTTCTCGTTCCGAAAAGAGTGCCTTGCAGAGGAATGCGTGCCTTGCACAGGAATGCAGCCACGTCATCGTCAGCCAATCAGCATGCTGCTTACAGCCAATGCAGTATGCGTAGGTTTGAATTACGCGATATGATTGGTCAACGCGTAATAAGCTTCCGCCTCAAACATTATTTTACATAGAATATAGTTCGTCCTATATTAAAATATAGAAAATAATTGTTTTTACAAAAAGGTTTTACTTTCTTTCATGATCATTTTGAGCATAAAAAATCATAAATCAATAGCAAAATACTAATTTCAGGAAAGTGAACTGTTTCCTTTAACCCGCGCCCGGCTGGGGGTCCTGGATTTCCACGCCCTGCTGGGGGGGGGGGGTGTTTGAACACCCCCCCTTGTAACTCGGCTCCTGGGCCACGTAGCGATACGCGGAAGGCGGCGTTCGAAAGAGCGTCAAAAATAATGACGAAATCACTTCGGTCAATTTTTTGGTCAGGTCAAAGGTCAGGTCACCAGAGCCCAGAGGTCATTGAAGGCAAAATTTCGCCGATTTCCAGGTCGAATGTCGAAAATTTCCAAGAAGCCAATGCATAACTCGAGAACCAATAGAGTTACAGCGCCGCGGAAAAGAGCATTCGATAGCCCTATTAAAGCCCTTTCTGAGTAATTCTCTCAGATTTGACCTAACGTCAACGGTTTTGCCTGCAGGGGGCAAAAATTGCAAAAATAGCCGATTTTTTCGGAAACAGTTTTTCTGCAATAACTATTGACTCAAGCCTTGTACGAGCTTACTTTTACCGGCATTGTGTTCCTCTCGTCAAGACAGGTCAACTTGAAAATTTGACCTCAGGTCAAGGTCATGACCTGACCGGAAAGGGTCATGTTGCATATCAGTCGATCCGTATCGTCAAGCTGAACACATCTAAGGCGTTTTCATCGCTCTAGCGTGCCTCTATCAAAAGTTATTTGCGAAAAACTGTTAGATACCATTCGTGACCTAAGATGACCTCAGGGCATAAACAAGGGTCACTGACACCATTTTCATGTTCAGTGTGTCTGAACCACTTGTAATTCGGTGTTTGGGAGTGTTTATAATGTCTTTTGTCCAAAAGAGGCGCATTTCAATTTTCTCCCATTGACTTATAATGGGGAGGTCGCAAAATTGACCTGACCTTAGGTCATCGATATCAAAATTCTGAGATATACATTTTGTACATGCTATTGCTCTTAGCAATCGCTGAAAGTTTCAAAGCGATCGGTCACTCGGTGTAGCTATGACAGACATTGAAACTTTTTATGAGGTGATGTCACTTCAAGTGACCTGGTGACCTGACCTTGAATGACCTTGGTCTGAAATTTTCACTACATGTGTAGAATTGATGTACGATAAGGTGTACCAAAAACGGCGGCGCTCCGCGCCGCCGTTTTTGAGATATTCGCAAAAAACCACAAGGGGGGGGGGGTGTTCAAACACCCCCCCCCCCCCAGCAGGGCGCGGGTTAATGAAATTTTGCACAGAAGCTTGTGCTATAGTATCGACAAGAATTCCGACCCGGCCCGATGAATCTGACGAACTTTATTTTTTACCATGTAAATGTGGACCACCCTATTGTAGGGGAATCCCCTGCAGTTTCTGCGTCGGATTTAGGTTTGATGAGCTCCCCGGCAACATCCGCTTCTCCCTGAAAGCCGACAGCTTGCATCGACACCATCCGTGAGTATTTTGTAGGTCTTCTCTGGCGCTAACTCCTTCATGAATGACTGGCGCCGACTTCCCAAGCACCATTTTCCTTTTCAAAACAACCCCATTCCTGAACAAATGCGAAGTGCCAGGGGCAAATTTTTCGCAGCATATCGTAGCAGAATGTGTCGGCCATCTGTTTCTTAGACACATTTTGCAAATTTTGCAAATCCCGAACGCTCGTCATTCCCAATGCCAAGACCTTCGCTGAGTTCCGGAGTGTTTTCCTCAGGAGAGGTTCTGCTTTGTAAACGGCCAAAACCTGTCCATCGTGCGGTTTTGTCCGGATTTTGTGTGTAAAAGAAAGCTATTTGCTCCAGATCTGCCTCTTGAAACTTCGTTAGATAAAACTTTACATTAATTGACACTTTTGGAGGGTCACTTGTCCTCGGCATTGACGATTTTCGCATTATTTTCCCTCAAAATTTAGCGTTATAGATATTATAAACAATTTTAAATGATATTTTGTCTTTATTTTATGATGACCTGCAATTTTTGAAACTGGGTAACCTCTGTCTGTGAGCTTCTAGTCAGTTTTCAATGGTTAGGACTGCATTTTCAGCTGCTTTCCGGAGCACGAGTCTGCTGCGGTACAAGGGTCGTTCAAAGCGCTGTTAGTCTCGCATGGTTTTGTCCTTCAAAAATTTTAGCCATCGTTTTTATTAGATGACCATCATGTTGTACTCATCCTCGCCGACACTTTGCCATGTGTCATTTTCGACCTAACCATTCCCATTACTCGTGAAGCAGAGAGTTTCTCAGCCGACCCGAGTATGCGACCTCCATTTTCATGCCTGATCCATGGTCAGAGGTGAACCCTTTTTGTGAGCTCATGAAGGGTCGAATGCGCTTGAAAACAATGAAGCTGCTTGAGGAAGGTTGTTACCAATGCCCATGCAAAATTTCGACTGTTAATTTCTTGTTGATTCAGAATTATTGACAAAAAAGCATGGCTGGTACCTGTAAGCGAACTTTTGAGACACCCTGTAGATGTTGTGTAGGTGCTAATTGGGTTTTTAGTAGGTGTCATGTAGGTGTAAAGTTGGATTAGGTAAGGTTAGGTTTGATCTTTTTCAAAATGCTTCGAATGTTGTGTCATGTGTGTACCAAATGACTCACTAGAATTGAGTTTTTGTTGTTAGAAAACAATCAAAGCTAACCTAGCCTTACCTAGCCTAACCTAACTTAACCTTAGGTGACACCTGCCTACCCAATGTAGTTTTAGCAAGGATGTTTTAATCAGCTGCAACAGCTACCCATAATGAGGCCAGAATTGTAACATGTGTTTGGACATTTTGTGACCAAATCTGATATCATGTTCCAGGGTTAAGTTATGTTTTAGGTACTGAAAATATGCTCTCAAGAAAGAATAAAGATTCTGCTATTACTGAGGGCGTTACAGGAAGATATGTTAAAAGAGAAGCACCACCAGACCTCTCCAGTAAGTACCCAGTTATCAGTCTACATCTTCACTCAAGACATGCTCAAGCTCACTACCTTTATACTCAACATCCAGACCTTTACTAGCTAATAGGTTTGTAATGATGTGGTTCTTTTTAAACTGTTTAAAGTAAGCAGTTTCTCATGTACTAATTTTGGCATCTTATTACATTTATCAGTTTTGGAAGCAACAGTTAGTCATTTGTTCATGTGATTGTGCTTCAAGTAATTGGCACATGTACTAAGCTGATGATGAATTGACCTGTTTCAGTTGTGAATGTATGGACTCAGCAGCCTAAGCCACCTAAAAATGATTGGAAGAAGAAAATGTCACTCTCCTCCAGTCAGGTACGGATTTTTATTTGTGACAGCATATATCCTGCCTCATAATTTTCGCCAACGTATCTCAGCTCCCGTGTTGGCATCCATTGCTGCATAATCTATTCATACATTTGCAATTGGTTGCAATATTGTGTGATTGGAGGATGGCTGCTGATTTTGAATCTTCATTGAAGCACATGTGAAACATTTTTGTAGCTGAAAGATTTTCATAATTTTGTTCCTTATGTCAGTTATGTTGGATGTGCAATGTGCAGCCTGACCTGGCCATTGCCCATTGGCCTATTGTATACCGTGTTCTGGTGTTGGCGCTGAGGTTTGCCTCTGTCTGTGTGTGTGCGAGTGGACCAGTGCAGTGGCTGACTGACATGTGTCCCCGGCGCGCAGTCCCGCGGCTCGCCGCAGCCGGCCGGCTCGTCGGCCAGTATCCTGCCGCGGAGCGGTGCGCGCGGCAGCCAGGCCCGCGTCTCCACTGGCCACGAGGGCACGTACCGGTCACACCCGGCCGGCGGCCACGGGCCGGCGCAGGGCGCCGCCGCCGCCGCTACCGGCGCCAGCCCGCAGCTGGGCGCGCCGCGCGCCGCAGCCGCCGCCGCCGCCGCCGCCGCGGCAGTCGGTCACAGCCCTCAGCTGCCGGGACATGGGGCGCACGGCGGGTCACCACACCCGGCCGACCTGAGCGCCAGGTAAGGAACGGGGGGGGGGGGGGGGGGGCGCACGGCGGGTCACCACACCCGGCCGACCTGAGCGCCAGGTAAGGAACGGGGGGGGGGGCGCACGGCGGGTCACCACACCCGGCCGACCTGAGCGCCAGGTAAGGAACGGGGGGGGGGGGGGGCGCACGGCGGGTCACCACACCCGGCCGACCTGAGCGCCAGGTAAGGAACGGGGGGGGGGGGGGCGCACGGCGGGTCACCACACCCGGCCGACCTGAGCGCCAGGTAAGGGACGGCGAATAGACTGAGGGTCGGGCTGACCAGGGCTGGTCCACAGTGACTGGGAGCCGGCGCAGACGCCTAGCCGTGGCAATGCTACGTGACACGACTATGGCATAAGGGAAACGTTTTTGAATATTACTAAGTAGAGTATGAAATGCTTTGTTGATAAGTCGGATCTGGTCATGGCCAGCTTTATCTTTCGGTCGGGTATCCTGTAATGCTGTGCAGCTGCAGATCTACAGTTCCCCTGCCAGTACCTGAACCCGCCCACTGACGCTCCTCTGTGCCACTGACGTCCCGCTGTGCTACCGACGCTCTTCTGTCCCGTTTCCCGTTCACTGACGCCCCTCTGTCCCCGTTCCTCGCCCACTGACGCCCCTCTGCGCCGATTTCCCGTCCACTAACTGACGCCCCGCTGCTCCCGCCAGGATTGGTAACCAGAGTCTGCGCGAGAAGCGTTCGTCGGGGGCGGCGCAGCACCACTGGGGTCTGCGGCAGGCCATGAGCCACACCTACATCAACTACTACGCCGGCTCCGACTGCCACCTGGACCTGCTGAAGGTACGGACGACCCCGGACGGCCGGGCGTCGGGCAGAGAGCGGGTGGGCAGGGTCCAGTGAGGTGGGTGGATCGTATGGGGGATGCAGTAGCTGATTGGATTGGCTGCTTGACGGACACCGCGAGGAGGTAATTCGTTAGTGCCGGCCACCTCGTGAGGCCCGGCTCGACGCCGTCTGACGGTAAGGTGAGGGCGGCACCAGCGGCGTAATGCGCTGCATTCACCCGTGTTTTGGCGGCCCTGTCCGTGTCTCGACCATGACTGTAGTCCGGGCGCCCAAAAACCCCTGTCCGTGTCTCGACGGTTCTATCCTGTGACGTCCCCACGGCCCCCGTCAGTCTGCTGACGGCCCTGTAAGTTCCCTGGCAACTATCTCCGTGCCCTGTCGCCATTGTCTGGTACCCTAACGCCCGTCCCATGCCATGATGCCCCTGTGTGTAGTGTGTACCCTGACGCCCCTGTCCTGTGCCATGATGGCCCTATCCGTGCTCTGACGCCCCTGTGTGTATGTTAAACCATCACCAAGAAATTAAAGTAATCTGCGTCATGTACATTTTATATTCTCTGAGCACATTATCTCGCATAAAACACACATTTGAAAAATACATTCCTCGCGCCGAACTCGTGGAATTTTCTAACGATCCCTCAATTTCACGACATTACCCCCCCTCGAGTGTGCGGCGCGCAACACCTAGTTACAGGCCCCTATCTAACAGATCATAGGTAGACATGAATGCTCATTACACATGGATACACAATCTTGTTCGACATGGGCATACCCAGGTTATATGACACGTTCACATCCTACAGCTTAAAGTCGAACACTGGCTTTGTAAATTTTACGTGCGTGCGGTGCAGCCTTCCAGTTGTTCCATCCATATATTCAACGTGACGACGTCCAACCATCCCCACTACAGTGTGTGTGCGCGACCACGGATGCTCCATCTTAAGAGCAACCCCAGCCTGGTGCTTGAAGTTACGCACACGTATGCGATCCCCGGCCTTATACAGCAAGTCTTTTGCTTGATTACGACGATCATATGCGGCTTTGTCAGCTGCGGCGGAAATACGCCGCTGCTCCTGAGCCTGCCGCAGATCTTGGGATAGCGTGCGCAGCTTTTGATGGACAAAGTTATCCGAATACATAGGGACGGATTCATCCACCAGCCGAGATAGCGGAGCGGTAGGATGGCGCCAAAAGTACAGAAAATATGGCGAGTACCCCGTTGTCCTAGACACTTCGTTGTTCAGAGAGAATACGATCCCCGGCAAATGCACTTCCCAGTCTACGCCATGACTGTCTGACAGAGCGCGTAGTCGCCGTTTCATATCGAGATGCTTCCTTTCAATCTTTCCAATCGCCTCATGGTGATATCCTACTCCTGATACGTGTTTCACACCAAAGTACCGACAGAGCTCAGATATTTTTGAGCTTTTAAGGTTTTTACCCGCGTCAGTTTCCAATCTCCCTGGAGGACCAAACACAAGGAAATGACTTTGGAGAGCGTTTGCAATGTGATCGGCTGAGCCTGACTGAAGTGGATAAAACGATAAGTACCCGGTGAATTTATCAACGCAAGTGAGGACGAGAGAAACGCCTGTCGTCCTGCTTTTGGGCATGTGTACGATATCCACGACCATCGCTTCGTTGGGAAGATAAGCTTCCTGCGGTATCAACGGCGGTGGCTGCGCACCCTTAGTGTCTTTGCGCTCGCTGCAGCGTTTGCAGCTCCTGACGTAAGCGCGACAATCGTCTTTTAATGCAGCGTACCAGGCATGTCGTGACACTTTCTCAAACAGCTTGTCTACGCCGCAATGACCATGGTGCGATGGGTCGTGATTTTGGTACAGAAGCTCAAAACGCTTGGCAAATGGCCAGACAATCCGACCGGTTTCCGGTGTGCTGTCGTCGTACCGATACAAAATGCCATTCTTTAATCTGAATTTAGTTACATCATATCGCTTCAACGTTGGGCTGCAATGCCTTGGCCACTTTCCAAAGCGCAAATGATGGACAATGGCCCGACAGTCCCGATCGTGTTTTTGGTACCAAATCATTTCTTCGCGACTAAACGCTGGTTGAACGTGATCTGGCTCAATCAGGCTGACGCGGAGCTGATCCTGAGTTCCTGAAAGCGAGGGAGTGGCATTTTCTGACCGTGTTTGTGGCGGAACGGGGACCGTTTTGCCGTCTCCTTCGGTAGCCACTGCCGTGCCGCTCGGGGCCATTTGGCTGGTCATCGACTTGTCCTTACGTTTCTCGGTCGCGGTTGGGCTGGATCGCCCCTGTGGCATGTTCTTATCCGGACACTCTGTGTCTGGTGGCATACCTGGTGCGCGCGACAGCATGTCAACGTGCTCCATAAAGTTTGCACGGCGGTGTTCGGGGCTATAGTGAAACTGACTGACGAACGATCGCCAGCGCATCAGTCGGGGGTTGACGCTGTCTTGATTGTTCAAAATCTGCAGAGCGCTTTTGCAGTCACATACCCACGTAAATTCCTGACCAGCCAAATATTTGTAAAATTTATTTAGACCTTGAATAAAACTGTAAACTTCTAATTCATAGATAGTCCACTTACGCTGGTGTTTGTTATATTTGCTGCCACTGAAAGCAATCACTCTTTCCACTCCATTTTGGATCTGACACAAAATTTGGCCACTGCCGATCGTACTGCTATCAGTATACAGGATGAACCTGTCACTTACGTCTCTGCTAGGGTATGCTAGTACACGGTCAGAGAGCAGAGCCGCGCGTAAAGACTCAAATGAACGTGATAATTCTGGATTCCAATAAAATTTCTCAGAGTTCGCTAAGTTAACCAATGGAGCTGACAGATCAGCGAATCTTGGAATAAATTTCCGAAACCAAGAAAAAAATCCATATAATCTCTTGGCCTCTTTGACAGTGGATGGCGGTTGCATGGTCGAAATACATCTGAAACGATCAGGGTCTATTGAAATGCCCTCAGGAGTAACCAGGTGGCCCAGGTATGACAGCTTGTTCATCCCGATCTTACATTTTTCAGCCGAAAGCTTTAAACCTGCTTCGTTAAGTCTCTTGAATACTGTGTGCAGCAACCGATAATGTTCATCCATACTGGCGCTTGTTAAAAGCACGTCATCAGCGTAAATGAAAACTCCGGGTATGTCACCCAAAACGCGATGCATAACCCGATGCAAGAAAAAAGAGGACTGGGCACACCCCATTGGCATCCGCTGCGGGTAATATGTGTTGCCCATCGCGTAGAACGCACAGATCTGGCTGGAAGTTTCGGAGAGACGCAAATTCCAAAACGCGTGTCTAATATCCAGGGAGCTGGCCACTTTCCAACCTCCCAAACTATTGAGGAAATCATCAATACTCGGGAACACGAACTTTTTCGGGAGTAAGCATTTGTTTACCTGCCGCATGTCTTGGACTATGCGGTTTTCCCCATGTGACCCCGGTTTTGGGATCAAAACAACTGGGGAGTTCCAGTCAGCTGGCTCTCCTTCTGCTATTACACCGCACGCCTTTAGTTCATCAAGCTGCTCCTTTAGTTGTTGTTCTTTTGACCAAGGAATAGGATAAGGGCGCACAAATTGCGGTGACACCCCGGGTTTCAGCTCTAGGTCAATGGGGTCCCCCTTGTAGCACCCAATGTCAGAATATCCGTGGGAGAAAACACCGGGAAACGACTGGATCAAACCAGCTAACCTGTCCCGTTCTCGATCCGTAACCGCCTCACCCATCATAAACCTGGCTAGGATTTCGTCCGTCGTCTGACCAAAGAATTGACGATCCTCGCTCGTGATGGCATTCACCTCACCGGGACCTGAGTCTGAACACCCAGGCTCAGCCGATTCATGACATTCAATTCTCTCCAAAAAGCCAATGACAGTCTTCCTCGGGAGAGTGATATGACGATCTGAACTATTTCTGATATAAAGAGGGATTTCTTGTGAAGAGAAAGGGCGTACTAAAGAGTCAGTTATCTCTAAGCTTTCCGAGTTAAGGCCAACCATAAGGTAAGTACAGTCTGTTGATAGCTGACTGTCTACTTTGACGCTTAAGCATACTGCGGATTTTGCGGGAACACTAACGGGTTTTGAAAGTCTGGTCTTAACCTGAAAGGAAGCATCTGCACAGTTCATCGAGATAATGTGCTAGCCATAGTGATATGCCATAGTCACGAGCGCGTTCTTGTGGTTGCTTCCGGAGCTGTGAGAGTTTCATAGCAGCTTGTGCTGTGGAAGTTTGGTCCGAAAAATGACTCATGAGTTCCGCACACAATGAAGTAAATGTCAGGCCACCGTTCAAACTTTCTGTCTCATTGACGACACGCAGAGCCTCACCGGAGCAGCGTGTAGCGACGATCATGCCCAACTTGTCTGAAGTGAACCCACCCAGGTCGCCGAGACGCTTGCATTGAGCGAGGAAGTCGTCTGGCCTTGAAAAGCCGTCATAAGTCGGAAAATCCGCCACTGAAACTTTTGGCGAAGGCGCCGAGACAGCTCCTTCTTCGTCCATGATTCGTAATTCTGGATATAAAACTAACTCCACACCGCTGCCACCATGTTAAACCATCACCAAGAAATTAAAGTAATCTGCGTCATGTACATTTTATATTCTCTGAGCACATTATCTCGCATAAAACACACATTTGAAAAATACATTCCTCGCGCCGAACTCGTGGAATTTTCTAACGATCCCTCAATTTCACGACAGTGTACCCTGACGCGACGTCCCTCCGTCAGGAGTCGCCGTCCAGCCGCGCGTCTCCGCACGGCGTCAGGAAGGTATCTCACGGCCAATACACGTACACAGCCGAGCCGGCGGCGGCGTCGGCTGGCGGCGGCGGGGACCAGCAGCCGGAGCCCGTCTATCAGAACTTGGAGGAGTACCGCCAGCTGCTGCAGCGGCACGTGAGTCAGCGGGACGGGACCGGTGCGGCGGCAGGGGGCCGACCGGCCGGCCGGCACTGAGGAGCGGCAAGACAGGCTGGGAGGGGGGGGGGGGGCGAGGGAAGGGAAGGTGGGGAAGAGCCAGGTGCTTAACTCTTAGTGCGCATTACGTGTTGGATTTGATTGGAAAGTGTATTTCAAAACAAGCGAAGTTTGGTAAATGCGGTCAAGTGACTTTTTATACATAGTTTGTTTTGATCATGACTTGTACCTAAGCCAGTTGGGCAATAATACTCGTTTTGCTGAATGTATTTATCGACTATAATTCTTGGCGCTATATTTCATACCTTTCATCCACACACAGTTTCCAGCAAATTCTATATCAGTTACCGCCCCCGTCCTTCATCTAGTAGCCCTCCTACCCAGTACGTCCGGCGTCTTTGGAGCCGTGACCACTGTCGTGTGACGGAGATGTGCCATGTTTTACGGCCGGTTTACGGCGGATTTGGTCATCGTCTGGGGTGATATACGGCCGCGGCTCGGTGCGACGGTCGGAGCCCGGCCGGCGGACCGCGGCTGTGGTGGGTGAAAGGGGATGGTGGGACCGGGGTATCGTTCGATCGCCGCGGTCCGTGGAGTGGGTGGGTGTCGTCACTGCCCGAATGCCTCCCGTGCCTGACGCCAGTGACCAGTGGTGCTCGCACGCACCTAGCGACTACCGCAGGGCAGCGGCACTCACGCCTATTCCTACTTTATCAGAGATGGATTACTGGACTTTTGTGCACCCGGTCATCTCCTTTGAAACTTGTATGTACGGAATTAGAACCTGGCAAAGCGTCTCAGGCGATATGACGAGCCTTTTTCCCGGCCATCGTGTGTGTCGGTCGCTGGGCTGCGGACCGACGCATTACGATGTTTGTGACCAAGACTGGCGGACGGCGTGACTGCTGTAACACTCGGGTGTGCCTGTGTCTTCAGCGAGAGCAGCAGCAGCTGATACAGCAGCAGCAGCAACAGCAACAGCAGCAGCAGCAGCAGCAGTACGTCAGCTCGTACTCGGGCTCCAGTCAGCAGCTGCACCAGCCGCAGCAGCAGCAGCCCCTGGTGAGTCTGTCGGGTCCCCGGCAAGTCGGCTTAGCCCCTGGCGAGTCTTAAGAGCCCCTGGTGAGTCTTCAGAGCCCCTGGTGAGTCTTCAGAGCATCTGGTGAGTCTTCAGAGCCCCTGGTGAGTCTTCAGAGCATCTGGTGAGTCTTCAGAGCCCCTGGTGAGTCTTCAGAGCATCTGGTGAGTCTTAAGAGCCCCTGGTGAGTCTTCAGAGCACCTGGTGAGTCTTCAGAGCCCCTGGTGAGTCTTCAGAGCATCCGGTGAGTCTTCAGAGCATCCGGTGAGTCTTCAGAGCCCCTGGTGAGTCTTCATAGCCCCTGGTGAGTCTTCAGAGCACCTGGTGAGTCTTCAGAGCCCCTGGTGAGTCTTCAGAGCATCCGGTGAGTCTTCAGAGCATCCGGTGAGTCTTCAGAGCCCCTGGTGAGTCTTCAGAGCATCTGGTGAGTCTTCAGAGCCCCTGGTGAGTCTTCAGAGCATCTGGTGAGTCTTCATAGCCCCTGGTGAGTCTTCAGAGCATCTGGTGAGTCTTCAGAGCCCCTGGTGAGTGCCGAGCCAACCCCTGGTGAGTCTGTCCAGACCCTGGTGAATCTGCCGAGCAGTTGACCGGCTCATGTTGACTCTCAGCAGCTTCCAACATCGTGTTTTATGTGATAGTGCGCCCAGTGTGTTTTCGAACGCGGTACCTGCCGGGGCCACCAGCTGACCTCTGTGACCTCCCTCTGTTCCAGTACCAGTTTGCGGGCGGCGGTGGAGGAGGGGGCGGCGCCGACTCCTCTCTGGGAGGCAGCCAGCAGCAGCTGCAGCCGGCCGCGGCGCAGATCCTGCCCGCGCTGGCCGGACCGGCGCCACAGCAGATGGCCATCCAGCCGTCAGGTACGTGGGCACTGACTTATCTAGCGAATAAACTACCACTTACGGGGACCAAGCGGCACTGATCTATTAAATCCCCTCCTGATTCCTCGTCTCTATTGTACGGATTTCTTCCGTCATATCTCAGATTGCGGGTCCTGCGTCCACCACCGTGTTTTGGGGCTTTCTTCGTCCATGCAATATTCACCGCTTTACGTATTGTCATTTCCACATATATCCAGAGCTGGAGTTGTCGTTGCCGCCGGGCTGCTCGCTGGTACAGTGTCTGACATGTGACCCCGTTATTCAGACCTGGAGCTGCCGCTGCCGCTCGGTACAGTGTCTGACATGTGACCCGTTATTCAGACCTGGAGCTGCCGCTGCCGCTCGGTACAGTGTCTGACATGTGACCCTGCTGTTCAGACCTGGAGCTGCAGCTGCCGCCGGGCTGGTCGGTGGTACAGTGTGTGGCATGTGACCCGTTATTCAGATCTGGAGCTGCCGCTGCCGCTCGGTACAGTGTCTGACATGTGACCCTGCTGTTCAGACCTGGAGCTGCCGCTGCCGCCCGGCTGGTCAGTAGACTACACGCGGGACGGCCGTCACTACTACATCGACCACAACACCAAGACGACCCACTGGTCCCACCCGCTGGAGAAGGAGGGGCTGCCCACCGGCTGGCAGCGCGTCGACTCGCCAGAGTACGGCACCTACTACGTCAAGTGAGTCATTTCAGAGAGCACTTCTGTCAGGAGAGTCATCTCAGAACGCATTTGTGGTCAAATGAGTCATTTTCAGAGGGCACTTAAAAGTTGGCTACAAATTTAAGTCAGCGGTGTCATTGTAAGAACACGATTGTCATTCTTGTTTCAGCTTAAGCACTTCAAAGCTTTCTTCTCTGTCCTATCCTGTGCTGTCCAGGTGTCCAGAGATGTGATCATTTAATTCAACTTTATCAGCTTTAAAGTGTGTCAGCTAGCTGAGTTGCCGTCACGCCTCCTGCCCCTGCTGCGGGGTGTCCACACGCTGGCGGCCTCAGATCTGCAACTGTACCGGAGTTCTGACGGCCCCTGTCCCCGTCCTCAGCTACATCACACAGCACACTCAGTACGAGCACCCGTCGGCGCCGCGCTACTGCGCCCAGCCGCTGCACCCGGAGGCACAGCCGCGGCCGCAGCTGCCCGTGCCGCAGCGGCCGTCCACGCAGCTGGGACACTCGCTGGTGCCGGCCAGCCCCTACCTGCTCGAGGGTGAGTCCTATCTCCGCCAGCCCCTACCTGCTCGAGGGTGAGTCCTATCTCCGCCAGCCCCTACCTGCTCGAGGGTGAGTCCTATCTCCGCCAGCCCCTACCTGCTCGAGGGTGAGTCCTATCTCCGCCAGCCCCTACCTGCTCGAGGGTGAGTCCTATCTCCGCCAGCCCCTACCTGCTCGAGGGTGAGTTGTGCTCCCGGCCAGCCCCTACCTGCTCGAGGGTGAGTTATGCTCCCCTCCTCCGCCAGCCCGTACCTGCTCGAGGGGGAGTCGAACCGTCAGCCCCTACTGCTCGAGGATGAGTCCCCCGCCAGCCCCTACCTGCTGCTGGGTGGGTCCAGGCCGTAGTCACTAGCATACCTGTAACGTGTTCGGTTTCGGCGACGTCATGATGTGAATACTGAATAGTGCACCTGTTCTGAGGAAACCTCTTGAATAAATATATTGTTTTAGGATTCTTACGTAAGATTCGGGAGCACTTTGGTGAAAAAGTATGATTTCTATGGCTAATACTATTTCATAAATGCTTTTTTAAACTCCCGAGTGTTCACACCATGACGTCAGCAAGCCTACGCCGATTCCTCGTGACGCCACCTGGTATTTATCGCCTTGAGTGAGTCCTATCCCTACCCCGACCAGTCCTTACTTGCTCGAGGCTGTCTTACTGTCCCGCATCTCCAGGGCTGATTAATGTTTTATCTTCTGTTAACACAAGGTTGCTATCGTTAGGAAGGTTCGTCGGTAACATTATGCACACGTAGTCGCGCCCTACACCTTTTGCCGCGTGTGCCCGCCACATAACTGTCTGCGTGTATGCCGTTCGTCAGAGATCCCGCACTAGCTGAAGGTGTACAGCTGAGTAACTGTGTGTTGTTTGCCGTTCGCCAGAGATCCCGCACTGGCTGAAGGTGTACAGCCAGGCGCCGCCCGAGCACGACCACAAACTCGAGTGGGACCTGTTCCGACTGAGCGACCTCAGCTGCTTTGACGCCATGATGTCCCGACTCTACAAGCTGGAGCTGGAGGCACTCGTCATGAAGTATGAGGCCTGCAGGTCAGTTTGACGAGACGGGAGGTGCGGACCCGGTAGGGGTGGAGTGTGGTGGATAACTCCGAGTGGGGTGTTTTGAAGGTAATGTTGCAAAGTGGAGGGATACGGACAGTTGGGGTAGTTTGATGGTACGGTGTCTCAGACTCGGGATGAGGTGACGGCTGCAGCACCGATTCAGCCAGGTAACTGGAAATAGTTGTAAGTGGAGCGATGGGTCCATATTATACCGCTCTGACATGGGCAGGTATGAAGTTAAAAGTCTGAACAGCCTGTCATTCTTCACGAATCCACTGACTCTAGCCGTATTTATATCTTGTGTCGGTCTCTACGTGTCTGGATGGAATATGTTTGCCTGACTGACTGGCCCTAGTTCTCTGGTCTGCGCTGTATACAGGATGGACCACTGACTGACCCGACTGTCTGGTCGCCCTCTCCACAGGATGGAGCTGGCTAGGGAGATGGAGCAGCGGCAGCTGGCGCCGGCCGCCCCCGTCCCGGCCATCACCGCCGTCAGCTGCGCAGCCGTGCCCCGACCGGCGCCCTCTCCGCTGCCGGCCGCCACCCGCGCCGAGCTGATCAAACGACAGCTCCTAGAGTCGGACGAGCCGCCCGAGAGCAAAATCTGACCGGCCGGCCAGCCGCCGTCAGCGTTTGTAAAACGGTGCAGTGCTCCGCGTCGGGGCATGCCAGCAGTGCCTGTCCGGCGCCCGTCCAGACTGCAGTGTCTGGGCCCGTCCAGCAGTGCAGTGGCCGTGGCCTGCCAGCAGTGCAGTGTCCGGGGTCCGTCCAGCAGAAGTGCAGTATCGCCGACCTGCCATCGGTGCAGTGATCCGCGCCGGGGTCTGTCCAGCAGTGCCTGTCCGGGGCCTGCAGTCCAGCAGTGCAGTGATCGGTGCCGGGACCCGTCCAGCAGTGCAGTATCCGTAGTCTGTCAGCAGTGCAGTGATGCCGGGCCTGTCCAGCGGTGGAGTGATCTGCACTGGGCCTGCCAAGCAGTGCAGTGATCGGTGCAGGCCCAGGGGCCTGCCCGGCAGTGCGGTACCCCCGCGCACCGAGGCCTGCTCGGCAGTGGTGTCCGGGGGCTGCCCAGCAGTGCAGAGTGATCTGCGCTGGGGCTCGTCCAGCGGTGTAGTGCTCCGCATTGGGGCCTGTCCAGCAGTGCAGTGATCCGCACTAGACCTGACACGCTCTGCCACCTCGGGTCCGAGACCAGTCACGTGGGAGGGACAGGAGTCGGTGAGCCACTCCGCCCTCCGTGGTGATTGGGCCGCCAAGTCCAATGTGGGCAACTTGGTCCGAGGTACAGGCCAGGCGGGAACTGTGCAGCTCGGTCGGAGCTGCACCGTGCCGTGCCTAATATTCAGGACATTGTGGCCTTCGGTGGCGGCGGGCTGGTGAGAAGCCGACCGACCCTTGCCGCAGCCTCAGCGTGCCGTCCGTACCGGCCTGTGCCCGGTCCCCCGACCAGTGTTGTGCCTGTAACTATCTGCCAAATCAGCCACGCAGCTTCCAGCAGTGCCGCGCGCCCTCGGCGCCTCTCGCCAGACTCTGCCGCCATCGGCAGCGAATTTTAGCCGACTGTGGGGCGATCTTCCAGTGTCATTGTTGCTTTTTTAGCTCGCAGAGAGAATGCTTTTAGCTCGTTGTGAGTAATTTTTAGAAGGCCATTGAACAAGTATCGGCTCTTGGTGTCGTTTAACTCGCCAAGATGCCATTTGTGCCTGACGCGTTGATTACTTGATTGCATAGTTGATTACTGGACGTGTACAATGTTGGCGGAATCGATCAGATGGGGGGAGGGGGGGGGGGTGATATGCCGTACGGTATTCGTGCGAGGGGCATTTTCATGTGAGCCTTAATTGAAGACAGGGGCGGGGGACGGCTGGGCAGGATGGGGAGGGGTGGGTAGTTCTTGACGCCAGTCTTGTTAGAGGGGTAGAACGTCGGGTTATTTTGTATAACACGGTACGGTCGCCAGTCCTGGCAGTGTTCGCCGTGAAAACTCGTCCATAAGTGCGTGCATTTGGCACACCGTATGCCGCTGACTGTATGTTGTGGTGGGCTCGGCCGCTGCGCTGACCGGCCGGCACGGAGTGTGACACTCCACTGGCGGGGCCCTTGCCTGTGAGCGCGCGGCGCTCTGTGGCTAATCCTGCCCCGCCGCTGCCGGCCGGGCGGGCCCACGGCCACCATTGAGCCGTTGCTTTATCGGTGTCCGAGCCATGCGACGGCTGCTTGATTGTGAGTTGTGACGTCTCTGATTGCGCGTGTGTTACGGAGTGCGCCGAGTGAGAGTATGTGGACGGAATGTGCGACGGATTTGTGGACTGTCCACCCGGTGTGGACGCGGTGGAGCGCGGCGGTGGACGGCGCCCGCCTCCAGGCAAGTCTTTCAGGGTGCAGCGCGCGCGCGCGGACGGCCGGGGGACGATCCGACCTTTCGGGATCAGAGTAGCTCTACGTTAACACTTGTGATACCCTTGTGATTGGTGAAAATATAATGATCGCTTTTATAATGCGCCAGTTTTTAGGTGGTGGTATCTAACGCGATCTTCCGAACGTCCATTGTTTTAATTAGTTTTTGAGCAGCGATTTCTCACGGGATGCGATTCCTCTTTTTTACGGAGCGAGCGAAGCGAGCGGAGTCTTTCCTTAGATTAACGGAAATTTCTGAGTATGAGCGGCCGGCCGGCCGTGCGGACGCTTTTGCGAGGCTTATATCTCAGCAACCACTTGACCGATTTACATGCGGTAATTTTTGTAGGGTAGCTTCATTCCTTCTACCAAGTATTGGACTATTCCTGATGCATGTGGGTGACCCCTTACGCACGTGCCACGTGCAAAACGAAGAGGTGTCAGTTTTGTAATTGTTGCAATATCTCGGTAACTACTTGGCCGATTGCGCTGAAAGTTGGCATGTAGGTAGGCACCCACTAGGCACTGCATATCCATGTGCCAGAGTTGGGGTGCTGCTGCACGTGCGCACGTGCAGGGGTCGTTTCCAGATCTCGAGAACGGCTGGACCGATGGCGCTCAAATTTGGTACACGGTTAGGGACCAGTTAGTAGGGTGCCGTGCACAAGTCAGTTGGGACCCATTTTGCACGTGCGCACGTGCAGGGTGCCGCTCCCAGATCTCGAGAACGGCTGGGCCGATTGTGCTCAAATTTGGCACATCGCTAGAAACCGGTCAGTAGGGTGCCGTGCACAAGTCAGTTGGAGGCGCCCCCTCGAAATTTCGCACGTGCAAGACTCACCCCCTCGCTCGCTCCGTTAGTCGCCCCAAAAGGCGCTATACTGGTGTTACATTTCTTTTGACTTTTTCTCATTTCAGCTGGCAAATCAGGGCAGTGGGCACGTGGCAAACATTAAATCACGATACTGGTGTATTAAAAAGAGGCACGGAGTAACACACTCCAAAAGCAGATCGAGTGGAAATACACAAAAGTAACGAAAGTAGAAAACGAACAGTATCAAGTGCGCGGTGTACCATGCCGGCGCCTGGTAATGTCCAGTGGGGGCAGCGCTGTGCTGGAACGACATCCTCATAATACTGTGACTGGGTTCGACAGGTTCCCAACAAACGGTGACGGCGACTGGAGCTCTCTCTCTGAACAACAGTACCAATGTCAAGTTTACCATTCGCAGCTATTAGAACAGGTTAGATTTGAGAGCGTGACAACCGATTTTCAGAGAAAACAGGAATGAAGCGGCAGTGTCACCAGAAATGCTGAACTTAAAACTAAATAACTGATAATAAATACCCTGCCAACCACTGCTGGGCTCCACCACCACTGCTCAGTTAATTGCCCGCGGCCCCGGGGCCAGGCGGCTGCTCAGTTAATTGCCCGCGGCCCGGGGGCGGCTATCACACACACAGACGCCTATCGACGCTCCCTCCAAATGGTCACACCGGTGCCTCGGCTATCACACTAACACGGGGACACCGGGCTATCACACTCGTGTCATAGGGGCCCCGGGTATCACACAGGACGCCGGGCGCGGGCCGCGTCAGGCGCCCGCCGAGCTCTAACACGGAACGGTAGCCCGTCGGCAGCCCCAGCCCGCCGCCCGGCCACGCTCCACGGCTAAAACGAGCGTGGACTCTGCCGAGGCAGCGGGCTGCGCGAGTAGGGTCCTCAGACCCGCCGGTGCTGGTGCAACTAGCAAAACAATATCTCTGCATAGATGGTGGTCCCGTAAACGCTCATAGCCTCTGTGTGTAGCCCCCTCCCGATAGATATGTTTTCAGTATCAGCCGTTATTGCCGATATAACAAACAGCAGCATGGCTAGCGGGTTTAGTGACTTGCGCTACAACATACCCAAGAGCCCTCTGCACAGATATTAAGCCAGATTCTCTACAATAGATGGGCAGAACAAGCTACTGAAAATGCTTCAACAACCATCTGATTTGTGCCAGGCATAAGAAAAAAAGCGATTTCGACTGGCAGCAACACCACGACGCCTGCAATGTGCGCAAAGCCGGAATGCATTAACAGCAAAGCAGGCACGTTCAAATAAATAACAGCGCTGTGCTTAAGCAAGCATTTAAGCATGTTGTGCTTAAGCAGGCGTTTAAGCATGTAACAATCACACGATGCGGCACGGTGCCCTCTGTGTCCTGAGGGACCGCATATCTGCTTCTCTAGCCTCTCGGTGCTGAAAGTCCCCTCCTGCGGCGGCCGCCGGCAGTTGCAGTGTGCGCCGCCGCCGCCAGGTGTCTCTGCCGGTCTACTGGAGGCTGTCGGCGCGCGCCGTCTCCGGTATGAGTTTCTGCAGAAGGCCCGTGAGCACGAGGAGGGAGCGCTGCAGGCCGGCCGGCTGGTGTCGCTCCAGCCACAGCTGGCGGTACTGCTCCACCAGACTGAGCAGTCTGCGGGGTGCAGGGGACCCGCGTCAGCGGGAGGGGGACACTGTATACACTGTGGGAGGGGACACACTGCCGCGGCCACAGCTGGCGGTACTGCTCGACCAGACTGAGCAGTCTGCGGAAAACGGGACCCGTCAGGGAGAGGGTGACACTGGCGGGGACGGACACCGGACCAGGCGCTAGTGAGGACTGTTACTGCACCAGTCAGCGCCACGTCACGTGCTACCAATCGCACCAATACCGTACCGTAGAGTGGGGCTATTTGAGACAGTATTTAAAATTGCTATAAAATAAAAACCATTTGAAATTTATGCTCAATTTTTGACCAGGCGATTTACTGCTCGATTTCACACCTCCCTGAGGAAAAATATCACAAAAGAATCAAACGATCTTCATTTCATAGCGATTTTGAATACTGTCTCAAATAGCCCCACTGTCTCAAATAGCCCCACTTTACGGTACCGTTTATCACACCGGCTATGGACTACGAACGATGAACTCACCGATAATCACCGATAATGCTCTACCACTCCAACATCCAACAAATAGCTGTTATCGAAGACTCAAACCATTCCCCATAGAAGAACCTTCTACACCATCGAGAATTTCCCATATTTTTATCTTACATCGTCATAAGCCTGAAACGTTCTCCCTCTCCACTCATCCCATAACGAACCCCACCCTGCTCATCCCGCCCGCGCCCCAAGTGCATCTCACTTGTTGGCGGTGTCGGTACAGAAGGTGGGCGCCAGGTTGGCCACGCCCAAGTTGATGACCGAGTAGCCCAGGTTGCTGTGAGGGTTGGTGCCCAGAGAGATGAGCGCTCGGCCGATCCTGGGGTACAGAGACGGACAGGGAGGTCAGTATTCAGTAAGGTGAGGGGTGAGGTCAGTCCGATGAAGGCGGCAGCAGTCCGCCGACCGGCAGCGCAACAGAGACCGGCGCAGAAATGGAACGGTCACGAGAGAAAACAGACGGTAAATGCCTAGCAACGCAGCATTGACGACCAGCGCGGAATAAACCGACAAAATCAGCAGCTGAAAGCTCAACTGACAGTAGTGAGAGTCTGAGGACCAATGAGCCGATCTGACTCAATAGCTGAGAGGCGCTGACGTGATCAGTCCGCTGGCCACTGCTCGTCTCACCGCGCGGCGGTAGCCATCAGCTCGGCGGTCAGGTGCACCTCCCGCACCAGCTTATCGCCCTCCGGGTGGCCCGGCCGGGCCGACGGCACGCTGTTCAGAGTGTGCCGCACGCGCTTCAGCGTTTTCTGTCGACACACGGGCGCGGCGGTCAGCACAGGAAAACACACAGAAACTAGGGCTGAAAATGTTCGGTTAGGACGCAGAAGTTTAGATCTCATTAGAATCTTGAACGTACTTATCCACTATCCAGGTAACCCAGTACAAACCACTGTGAAATGAATGTTTATGCTCTTAGGTAAAAGCCATAAACGGCGTTTCTTTTCCACCACCCACCTAGTGATAGCCAGTAATCTGAGTACGCCAACATCAGTCCCTACGTGATCACTGATTACCGTGCACACAGCATCCGTTTCACTGGGTCAATACACAGAGCATTCACTGAAATACGACAGTCACCAGCACAAACATCTTACCGAAACACAGAGAGCTAACACAACGCTGCTCCAACTCCTCAGCAACAGCCTGGCCATCTGCCTCCCCGCTGTGACCGGTCACTGGCCCGCTGGCGCTCCTGTCACTCCTCCCCCCATCTCTCTCTCTCTCTCTCTCTCTCTCTCTCTCTCTCTCTCTCTCTCTCTCTCTCTCTCTCTCTCTCTCTCTCTCTCTCTCTCTCTCTCTCTCTCTCTCTCTCTCTCTCTCTCTCCCTCCCCCTCCCCTCCGTCCCCGGGTCTCACGTTAATGGCCTCCAGTGTGATGTGTTCCAGGGAGACGGTGTCGGGGTCGACCAGCAGCCGCTGCAGGGTGCTACCGTCCGGCGGCGGCAGGCTGCACACGCCGCCCTCGTGCTGGCCGCGCGCCGCTCGCAGACTGGCGGCAGGGGAGCGTCAGGTCCAACGGGGTTCAAAAAAGACTGACGAAAGGGGAAAGGTCAAGTCAAATGGGGTCCCTCACATATTATAGGCAGGAAAGAGGTGTCTAAGCTGACTGATAGACTGCAGGGGAGAGACCAGACAACAGGGGAAGCTGTCGATAGAGAATTGGATCCCCACAGACTGTCGGCAGAAGAGAGGTCAGACTAGGCCCGTGGACTGTAAACGGGGGAGGACAAAATGGACACATAGAAAGCCGGCAGGGGAGATGTGTCAGACGACTACGAGTAGAACCATAAGCTACCGACAGAGTGTCGGATTTCAACAGACTGCAGGCAAGGAAGAGGTGACTAGCCCGATAGACCGCCGGTAACAAGAGGTCGGACTAGGGTCTCTTTCAGATTACCGGCCGGGGGATGGTGGATCTCAATTACCAGCAGGGAAGATATCAAACCAAGGTTTCCGTATTCCTAGTCTGCCGACGGAAAGATGTGAAACAGACCGTCAACGCAGACTGCCGGCGTGGATGTCAGGCTGAGCCGGTATGTAACAAAAAACGACCGAAGAGGGAGCTAGCAGACTAGGGATCCTACAGTCTGCCCGGTGAGGGTATAACGGGTCCAACAGGTAAATACACGACGGGCGCTATTTCGGGCCAAATGCAGTCCAAAAAGAGACTGCTGAGTGCCGATAGGGTGTCACATTGGAGCGGCCCAGTCACGTCAGAGCTATACTGCGGGAAAGGGAAGGAAGACGTTTACCTTGAGGTCACAATGATCTAACGCGATAACGTCAGGGGATGTTCTGAGAACACCTGCCTGCACGGTGCGTGTCCACGCCATTTGACGCTAATTGAATCGATAAAAAGGAGCTGGTATTTCCGTTATGAGCGGTTATGGAAACACATGCTACGCAATGTAAACCGGTTGGCTGTCCGTGCTAAGAATCCAGTGAGCGGCAGGAGCTAGCAGTAGCAGTCAGTGATCAGCCATTGGTCAGCACTAGGAAATCAGTCAGTGATCAATATTACAGAATCAAGAGTAAAGTCAGCAGTATGTAGGTTCAAGGTTGAATGTCGATAGCCAGAAGTGGATATCGAGCTGTGCCAGTAGCCAGCAGCCAGAAGTCAACATGGAACAGCTAGGTTGGTCGCGAGCAGGCAGCGGTTAAAACCATACCAACTGTAAATAAAACCGATACAATCCCACCAAACGGCTCAGCCCCACTCTAAGACGGTACAATCCGTTAGGGAGGACCACCGAAGCATGCCTTTTCCTATTGTCAGCGTTCCACAGCCGCACAAAAACGTCTGAATGGTCATACCAGAGTTTTTGTCCACATTCTTCCTCGCTACACCATTGGGTATGGATGCCTGACCGATACAGGTGGTCCCGGGAGCGGGACCAAACTAGAGGTGGCAAAACATGAAAATTTTGGGAACCAGACTCGAACCAGACCCGGCTGGACATTTCTGGAACCAGTCGTACCCGGTCTTAGTTGGAATCGGAACCATTTGGACCCATTCCCCAAAAGTCAATTAATACAAACTACTTGTAGGTGTCATTAGTTGCATCATGTAAAACAGCCTATTTCCCACTGGGAATACTCATGAGCTACTGTGTGCAAAGAAACGTTCACTTCATTCACTTCATATTTTGCAATACCTAAAGTGTACTGTACAAGATGTGAAGTTTATGGTAGGACCCGGTTGGACCCGTCATAAAATTTCCAGGAACCGGTCTGGACCCATATGGGTCCAGACTGGTTCTTTGGACCGGGTCCTCGGGTCCACATTTTGCCACCTCTAGACCAAACACAATGCAAGCTAATCGAAAAATACGGCAAGTGCCGCATCTTAGAGCAGCCTGGTGCTAGCCAACACCCGATGTAGTTAGTTACAGACTGCACAAATAGCTGCGGCCTGATGTCAACATTTGAATCAATTGATGAAGCAGTCATCAGAAAGAAATGATTTTAGGCATCAGAGACGATTACCGACAAAATCGTTATAACTTGGAATGGAAGCACGGCGTAATGCAGTGGCTTCACTATGCGTTTTCTGCGTGCGTTTTTTGCGAGTTTGCGTGATTTGCGGAATATCGTTCTAGAAAGAAACGACATTTCGTTTTTGTTATATGTTTTACATATGAGCTTTTGATTAACATAAACGTTTTATTAAGTTTTATATAAATATTAAAAAAAGTTGAATTAATAATAACCTTTTTCCAGAACGATATTACGCAAAACCGCAAACACGCAAAAAACGCACGCAGAAAACGGCAACGCATATGTAGTGTAGTCAGGCCTTAACATTAGAATGTTTCTAGCCGCAAAAAATACAATTATTCGTTAAATGACCACCAGCTTCCGCACCAATAATGGACCAAGTTCTGTACAGATCTTGTACAGATGTACCTACTTGTCCAGATTTTCGTGTGATCCATAAGTTATCATTGAATAACGGCGAGGATCGGGGTGATTATCAGCCAGATTTTGGATGCGTCCGCTCCCCAACCTATCCCTGGACGCATCACGTCCAGTGAGATGACAACAGACAAGTCGGAGACAGGTCCAATGCCGATTAAGGCCGTGTGCTCACCAGAAGGTCTCTGCTCGTCCCAGTTCGACGACAGCGCGTCCCAGCACTCCCTCCGGGTCTCTGAGCACGTGCCAGTTGAGCAGGTCGGCCAGTGCGCCCAGAACAAACTCCTGCAAAACACAAAGGGTGGACGGCGTCAGCTCAAGACAAAAAAAAAAGAGCCAAAGCAGTCAGCTAGGTGAACATAGGGCACATAAAAACCAGACATTTCGAACAAAATAATTAATCGATATATCCACACTCATCTTGCTATCAAGGATTGCTTATTTTCATGTCATAAGAATCACGACGCATCACGTCCAGCGAGATGACAACAGACTATGGATGAAGCCAGCCGACTCTGACCGGCTCATGTCGGACGAGTAACGTGGTCGGCGATCGGCCCGACCGCTGAGAAGCTGCATTGGTCAGACTACACTTCAGCGTGAGGAGAGGTTGGGCCATACGGGATCGCGTCAGAGGCGAGGCACAGCTCACACACCGTCCAAAGACAACGGGCACGGTCAACAAACTGACTGAGCACCCTCAGCGGATTCACGAACACTCCAGACAGGGTTTCCCTCCTCACAATAGACACCCGCTCTCCTGCGTCAAGTTTATTCTCCTCCTAGTAACCACGTAAAGAAGAGGAATATACTGCTGGGAGGTTTCACTCCTGAGATCTGTCGGTGGGCAAACACACACGCTGCCGGAGAGGCCAAGTGGATAAACCCGTTGCAGCTGAGTGAATTGCCATCAGGTAATAGACCAATAGCGCAAGTCACTACTTCACCGTGAATTGTAGTGTCTGGAGCCTACAGTCGACCTGAATCATAGCACACCGTGTTCACATTTCACAAGGCAGCAGTATCCCTACGCCTTCCGTACCAATCAGACACCTCTGTCCGATCAAAATCGCTCCCCCCCCCCCCCCATTCTGTGGTACTGGTCGGGCGCAAGTGCACGGAACGCTCCAGGTATACTCCAGGACACTCTAGTCTACAGTCTACTGAGTACTGTGGCAGTTCTCATACCGGCGGAATTCCCGCCGCGACGACCGACCTGGCGAGGAGGCGTCCCGCTAACTGGCCACGAGGCTGGCGGGGTCCGGGAAGCTGGGCCGCTACCTGGCCAGACCTGGCCAGACCTGGCCAGACAACTCAACTGGTGTTGGGGTGAGTTGCACGCTTGTGGCTCGGGGTTACGCGCCCTAATCCGACAGCAACAACGAGGAGACTCGGGGGTTTGACAGTGGACACCACTCCGCTGCGCAGGCTGATGTCTTTCTGTCTTAGACTTGTCGAGGGGCGCTCCACTTTTTATTATCCATAGACCTCTGTATACCGAGGCATACAGAGGTCTATGCATTATCATATATGGTCAGCGGATTGACTATAAGAATGTTGGACCATAGATATCTGTGCACCATAAGTGAGGTACGACGCGGGCACAGTGGTCTGGAATTCAATCGACCCGCCTTTTCCGCCTTCCCAAACGGTAATGTTCAGACAGCCGAGACGGACGACAGGGGTGGCACTAATCCGCCGGCGTGGAGCCAATGACTCAGAGACAATCATTTACCGCATATATTGAACAAATAAATGCGTATTGTATACCGAATTAGCATCGAACTTGATATTTGTAAACGTTTATGGCACGCATCTACCTATGTACTTTTCTCATTCATCTGTGATCGCGGATCACAACCTTTCAAGAAACACCAATCTGTCTCGCCATTGAGGTCAAAGACGTAGACCTATGGAGTCGGCGAATGCATCTCTGAAGGCGGTAGATTCAAAGACCACTCGGGCCTTTCACTGTGACGTCATCAGACTCTATGAGCTCAGCACATGCGCGCGCGCGCACAAATACAGAAGCAGGGGTGGGCGGCCAATGTAAACTGACCCGGTTTTGTGATCCATGAAAAGATGGGAGAACCAGCGCTAACTCAAAGACAAAAACTACAAATGACCAACGGATGTTTAACACTAACAGCTCGACTCCGACTGTCAAAACAATGACGTTTTACGCCGTTCATAAAACAGACCGAGCAATTCCGCCCTTCGCTCGTGACAATATTTCAATAAAGCAATCGATACAGAGCTGTTTTAATCTCTGCCGGAATCCGCCGGCCATGAAGAGGATCCTAATCCACCTGCAGCCGAGGCCAGTCCGGCCAGCCTCGGCATGTGGTCAGGGACGGCGACTGCGCGTCGGGTGACGTCATACATCCTTAGGAGAGGACGCCCTCGACGAGCTGAGCAGTGAGTCCCTCAGCCGCCCTGCGGCTCTCGGAAGCCTTCCTCGCGTGCTGCGTCTCGGGCCGAAGTTAGCACAAACCAGGCGCTCCCACCCCTTGCTTCGGCCGGCACGTGGTTCACGGATGTGACGTCACCGTCCGAAGATGACGTGACGTAATCACGTCATCACGTCACCTCAGTAACGGTCCCCCACCGGATCTGACAAAAGTAGGTACTGATAAACACATTGAGACAATACGCGCCGCCCACGCGTTCACTAGGGGCACCGACCAATATCGGCACTAGCCAATACCTATCGGCCCGGCGCGCCGGATGTCGGGGCAAAGGGCGATCAATCCTTACCCGTCCCCGAGTAGCAATACCTTATTCCATGACTAGACCGTTTCGCTTTGGAGGAGTGGATCGTTCCATTCGTATATACTATGTGAAAAAAAAAACTAGTCTGGCAGCCAGTGTCTTATATCTTCATGTTTCAGAAATTGTGTTAGCGAATAACTAAAGCGTGGGAAGGGAGCGGACACAATCGACGTAAAATTCCGCGAGTAGGTACCTAGCTCCGTGTGACCCAGAAGTTGTCATTGAATAACCTCGAGGATCGGGGTGACTATCGTCTATCAGCCAGATTTTGGATGTGTCCGATCCCCTATCCCCGAATACATTGAGCCAACGCGCAATAATGTGTCCATGAGAGTACAACCCACCGCTAAAGTAATGTGTGGTTTTACCAATCTCAACGGATGACTTTGACCGACGATTTTTAAACGCGGACTGATTGAAAAGAAGACGTCAATAGATAAAGTTGTAGCTGCAAGGGTGAAGATACATGTAAGCTACATTTAAAGTCTCGTTGCAGTCTGGCTAATCGTTCCTAGGCTTCAGAAGCAGAACATACCCATGACTGAAACCACACATTACTTCTGCTGTGGACTGTACCTTGACCTCTTTCTCGTCTTTTCCACACATGTCCCCTGTCTCTCCGGTGAGAGATGGGTGGGGGGGGGGGGGGGTGAGTGGAGGAGGACAAGGGAACACCCCCACCCACACTACCGTTAACCCACAGTCCATGACACGGCTGGCGACCACGTCCGGCGGGCATCCGACCGTCTGCTGCGGCTAACCCTGCCACCAGGGACGGAGTGAGTGTCCACAACCCAGAGGGCCGCTGCCGTCACTAACCGCCAACTATCCCCCGGCACCGCGCACACAGGAAGGAGCAGCACACCGCTCAGCTATCTCCCACAGGGCGCTGCCGTCACTAACCGCCAACTATCCCCGGGCACCGCACACAGTGAGGAGCAGCACACCGCTCAGCTATCTCCCACAGGGCGCTGCCGTCACTGACCGCCAACTATCCCCGGGCACCGCACACAGAGGAGGAGCAGCACACCGCTCAGCTATCTCCCACAACCCACAGGGCCGCTGCCGTCACTAACCGCCAACTATCCCCGGGCACCGCACACACTGAGGAGGAGCAGCACACCGCTCAGCTATCTCCCACAACCCACAGGGCCGCTGCCGTCACTGACCGCCAACTATCCCCGGGCACCGCACACACTGAGGAGGAGCAGCACACCGCTCAGCTATCTCCCACAGGGCGCTGCCGTCACTGACCGCCAACTATCCCCGGCACCGCGCACACAGAGGAGGAGCAGCACACCGCTCAGCTATCTCCCACAGGGCGCTGCCGTCACTGACCGCCAACTATCCCCGGCACCGCGCACACAGAGGAGGAGCAGCACACCGCTCAGCTATCTCCCACAACCCACAGGGCCGCTGCCGTCACTAGCCGCCAACTATCCCCGGGCACCGCACACACTGAGGAGGAGCAGCACACCGCTCAGCTATCTCCCACAACCCACAGGGCCGCTGCCGTCACTGACCGCCAACTATCCCCGGGCACCGCACACACTGAGGAGGAGCAGCACACCGCTCAGCTATCTCCCACAGGGCGCTGCCGTCACTGACCGCCAACTATCCCCGGGCACCGCTCACACTGAGGAGGAGCAGCACACCGCTCAGCTATCTCCCACAGGGCGCTGCCGTCACTGACCGCCAACTATCCCCCGGCACCGCACACACAGAGGTGGAGCAAACCGCTCAGCTATCTCCCACAGGGCGCTGCCGTCACTGACCGCCAACTATCCCCGGCACCGCGCACACAGAGGAGGAGCAGCACACCGCTCAGCTATCTCTCACAACCCACAGGGCCGCTGCCGTCACTGACCGTCCGGCTGTCCCGTCACCGCGGACAGGGGCGTCACTAACCTCTCTGCTCCCCCCAGCACCGTACACATAGCGGGACATGAAACCGCTGAGCCGTCCCTCGACACCGAGCAGAGGAGTCACCGATCGTCCGGCTCTCCCCGGCGCCGAGGGGGGAGCCGAGCACGAGCACGAAACGGAGTCACCAACCGCCCGAATATGCCCGGCACCGAGCAGAGAGGAGTTACTAACCCTAAAAACCGTTACCACATAGCAGAGTAGTAAACCGCCGAGCTATCCCTATTACCGAGCACAACAGAGCCACAAACCGTCATAGCCCCCCGACACCGCACATAGCGGAGTCACGAACCGTTCGGGTATCCCCGGACACCGCACTTGGCACAATCACAAACCCCTAATCGCAGAGCGCACGCAGCGGCTCGGTCGGTTATCAGCTCTTTAGCGAGGAGGATATCATGCCGGTGACACAAGAAAAAAAAACGATTAGCCTAAATATCTAATTATGTGTCAACTGTTAGCCAAACAGGCGATGATTGATCAGTAGCGGTCAGCTGAGCCACCCGGTCATCGGTCAGTGAAATATCTAGATTTGTTAACAATCACTAGTTTGTTATCATGCTGCTCACGACGTTGATGTAGTAAATTCA